CTCTTGGTACCTCCGGTAGAATTCAGCTGTGTATCCATCTGGTCCTGGACTGGTTTTGGTTGGTAGGCTATTTTATATTGCCTCAATTTCAGAGCCTGCTATTGGTCTATTCAGGCTTCTTCTTCCTGGTTTAGTCTTGGGAGAGTGTTGAGTGTCCAGGAAATTATCCATTTCTTCTAGATTTTCTAGTTTATTTGTGTAGAGGTGTTTATAGTATTCTCTGATGGTAGTTTGTATTTTTGTGGGGTCGGTGATGATATCGCCCCTTTCTTTATCATTTTTTGTTGCATCTATTAGATTCTTCTCTCTTTTCTTCTTTATTAGTCTTGCTAGCAATCTATTTTCAATGGCTATGTCTTCATCTACTGTAATGTATTTATCCACGCCCGCTCCCCCACCACTTGTACCTTCAACTTGTTTCCAGGGTTATAATTACTATATTATTCCAGTTTATAATCCCAACGGCAATAACAGAGAATGTGTAACCTTGACAATTCTAGGTACTATTTTTTGAAGAATTTATATACAGTAGGTTTAATTTTTTTCCAGTTCTTTGATTTATGTAATTAAACTTATTTTTTCCCTATTGACCATTTGTATTCCTTCTTTTATACATTAACTGTTTATCTCTTTGGCTTAATTTAAAGTTACTCACCATTTTTCTTATTAAGTTACAAGTATTCTTTATATTTTAAGGATATTAACCATTTATATGTTATATGTAAGAAATATATTTTGAATTTATCATTTACTTTTAAAATGTATTAATGATTTTTCTGTCATCCAGACAAATTTTGATTTTTATTATCACATCTATGGATCTTAATCTTTATTATTTTTTCTTCATTTTTAAGTGATGGGAGATCCTATTATCCAAACTATATAAATATTATATAAATTTTCACCTATTTTTCAAGAATTGTTATGGTTTTATTTTTTATATTTCATTTTTATTTCATCTAAGATTTCTCTTACTTTTCAGTACAGAGATCCTTTTTATTTTCTCAAATAATCACCCATTGACTCAAGCAGTACTTATAGAATATCATCCTGTCTTCTATGCTATACTTCTCTAATCTATAAATATTTATAGATACTCATTCATGTTTTATTGTGTTTGTAGAACTTTCAGAACAATGCTAAACAATAGTGGCAAACATGGGGTATAAGTGTCTGGGTCCTGGTTTTATTGGGAAAATCTCTTCTGTTTTCTTATTAAGTGTGTGGATAGATTTTCTTACACAGAACCTTTTTGGGGTTTTTGTTTGTTTTCAGGTACACTAATAACAATCCAAGGCAGAATCTTCACTGACGTCTATGGAAGTAATATTGCACTAAGCTCAAATGGGAAAAATGTTAGGATTTTGAGGTAATCTTGATTTGGAAATACACTCTTATAAATGAGATATAATATTCCAGAAATAATGGGCCAATGATATTAAATCCCATTACAATGTGGTAGAACTAACCAGTGTGTTTTCAGCCATATTATAGAAAGTAAAACAGACTGTTGGAAGATTCATTGACAAGAAAGCAATGGTCGATATGTCTGTCTTTATTGGTCTGATGTAATTTCTTATTGTTTTGTGATGGATTTATTAATAGAAGAAACACACAGACAAGTCCAACGTTATTGAATTATAGTCATACAAATTTATTACTAGAGGCCTTTATTACATAATCTAACTGCCTCATTTTGTGTATAAAAACACCTGAGGCCTAGAGGTCACATAGCTTAGTCAGGGTCAAGAGTAGAACACAAGTCTCGTAACACAGTATTTGACACTTTTTCTACTACTTCATGATGTACAGGCAAGTGCTGAAACCAAATATTGTCAATAACTCATTAACAGGCCAAGCTTTGAATCCTGTTTTTTCCATTTGCCAACTGTGAACTAGACAGTAACTTTGGCTAGTTAGCTAATGTCAAAAAAAAAAATTGTCCACATTTTGGACTGAAAACTAGCATTGTCACTAGAGTTTCTTCCTGTAGCATAGATGGTATTATTTCCATCCTGCCTTTAAAGACTGAAAGCCCTATTTATTTCCTATAGAAAAAAAGTATAGACTCACAATTATGGCTTTCAAGATTTTATGTTTATCGAATTCACGCATAAAACAGGTAAACGGATAAGTTAATTCAGATAGCAACTCAACAATTAGAGAATTTTTTGAATGCTATAAAGGTGAGGTATACACACACACACACACACACAAATATATAATTTTGTAAAACAAGCAATTTAAAAGATTTTAATAAGTGAAATAAAGATTTATCTGGCATTGTATAGAACAGAACCTTTAATTAAATCACATTTGTATGCATCTATAATTTCTGAAAATGTTCATACTAATTCCTTATATGTAATAAAAGAACTTCCAAGTAGAGATATTTAACATTTTATATATACTGATTAGTAGAAGTAAAAATTTTGTCTGCTTCTCATAGCTGAGTGTTATGAATGGTTTTTATTCTAATTCTTAGACAGGGTTTTCTAAGTCATCCTTTCCCATAATGAGGCCAGGAAATAGAAAGTTTAACTTTCAAAAACAGTTTCCTTTTTTCCTCCACTGAAACTGGAATTTATTTCTGTTTAATATAAGGGTTTGGATGGAAATTATTCCATGAAATCACAGAATTGCAGTGAGAGGGGACCTTAGAGGTCAGGCTATCTAATCCTTATACTCTGGAAATCCTGAGCTATTATATGTAAATTCAGATTTCTTTTTTCACACATCTATTAATGTGTGGGCAAGAAAGTCATGGAGCTGAATTTATCTCATTTCTACCATGTTAATTATGATACCAGGGCTCCCGAGGCAATTTATTATGCCTGGATTCTGTTAGTAGGGAGGGAGTTGAGAGCAATAGGCTGTGTTCTGGGCAGGAATTCAGGAGACCTGCTTCTCACAAATCTTGTTCATTCAACTAAATCTCCAAATTCAGACCAGGTAGAAATTATAGAGGACATGCAAATGGAAAGAGGGATTAGTGCTTACTAAGGAGCTTTTGTTCTAAAAAATCGGGTAAAAAGAATTCTAAAAAATATGTATTTAAGACCAAATAGGGTGGTTTTCCTCTAGGTACACGTACCCAGACCACTGTGTGGATTACCAACTGTGGTTAAAAACACTGACTGCAGCCAAACTGAGTTTGAATTCCTGCTCTACCTCTCATTGTCTGCAGGCTTGGGCAAGCTGCTTAAGCTTTCTGTTTCAGTTTTTTCATGTGCAAAATTGAAGGATAATAGTAACTAACTCATAAGATGTTTGTAAGGATTAAACGTCGTAGGAACCTATTCCAAGTGTTAGCTGCTAAATTTATTATTTAGCTAGAAAGAGGCAGGAGATTAGAAGGAGAATTTAAATCCATGAATATGTATAATGGGTACAACAATTCAGTTTACCTGCTTATACAATCCTAATGTAATAATCAAATGAATGGACTTATGCATAAAAGTATATTAAAAAATTCAAAGTTTTCTGCAAACAAAAGTCCTTATTTTTTATAGTTCAAGTTTGTATCTGGCCTTATTTTGAGTCTGGGATTTGCTGTCACAAAAGCTGATGGTTTATTCTGGTGTTGCAAAGAATCCAATACCAGTCAGTCACCTGCCAGCCTCCAACAGCATCAGGTACTATCAGCCCCAAAGTAATAGGTCAGACCCGATCACCTGGGGAAATACAGAGGCAGATGCTTTCCCTGCAGCTGAACTCTGGCTGTGCTCAGCTTCTTATTTTCATTCATGTGTCACTGATGCTGTTACACATCCTCTTTCTCCTGTTAACTTTGTGATGGCTGTGCTGTTTACCTTAATTCCTGTAGTATAAAACCTACTACAAAATTCTTTTTATTTGAGATGATTTAACTTCAGATGGATGAGTTTATTATCTGTTTCTATGTTGTCTTTTCTTGTAGTACTTAACACCTCTAACACATTAAATATGTTATGATTATAATGTTTTATTCGTCTTTCCCAGTTAAAATGTCAGTTCCACGAGGGCAACAAAGGGATCTTTGTTTCGTTCACTGATGTGTCCCAGTACCTACAGCAGGGACTGCCACATAATAGAGGTTCAGTAGATGTTTTATTGAGTGAATGAGTGGTGGATAATAATAAGTGATTGAGAAAAAAAAAATTAAGGGAGTCAGTGAGGTTGATGGGAGGAGCGCATTTTTGAAACAATTTGTTAAGCATAACTTGATCTTTTCTAATAAAAATATTTGTACAGAGTTTACATTGGAGGAATGCCCTGTGAACTTCTCATACCACAATCTGATAATTTGTAAGTATTTCAAATTATTTTCTTTATAAAAACAAATAGCAGATATAAGCAAACTGAATTTAAATAGTAATAGCTACCAATACTGCATAGCTAAATGCTTTATAATACAGTATAAATTATAATATCCCAAAACAAATTAGCAATCATTTTTACAGTTAGGTGCTACCTTATATCCTACTCAGTCTCCAAGATAGTATAATATGACCTATTTAGATTTTTATGAGAAAAGATGTTTTGAGCAATATCTTTATCAAGGAATTATTTCATTTGGCAGTATCTCAAACTCTTTTAAAGGAATATTAAAGGGCATAGCCAAAATTATAAAATATTTTTTGTTATATAAAATTTTATTCAAACATCTCCAATGAAGTCTAGGAAATGATTTTATTTTACAGAAATTTTGGTTGTTGCAACAATTTCTGTCCTGATTCATATTCTGAAATTAATGAGTTGTTTTTAAGAGAAATACAATATTCTAAAATTTTAGTGTCAATATAAACTTTGACATTGACGTTTTTTATTAGGTATGGTCTAAAACTGGATCATCCAAATGGAGATATGGGTTCCATGGTTTGTAAGACGACTGGAACTTTTATTGGCAAGTGTTGGTCATCTTTCTTCATAATGCTTACAGATGCCTTATTCTATTTCCCTGTTTTGTATTCTCCTAGACATCCCTCCTCTGCCTTTTGGATCAGTTTTTTTTTTTGTTTTTTTTGTTTTTTTTTTAAGTATTTTCTCTTTTCCTTGGCTTCTTTTCACTTTCATGCCAGCATGTATGAATTAGTCTTTTCTTATGGTTTATATATAAGGTAAACTTCTTCAGGTTTCTTTTTTTCTTCTTTTTCCCTTCAGCATTCCATGTCTAATTTGGCTGTTTTGCCTGTTGCCTTAATTTTGCTCTGTTCTTTTCTTCTTGACCTACGTCCTCCAGACACATAGATTGTGTGTGTGTGTGTGTGTGTGTTACAGAGTCTTGCTCTGTTGCCCAGTCTGGGGTGCAGTGCTGCAATCTCAGCTCACTGCAACCTCTGCCTCCCGTCTTCAAGCAATTATTGTGCCTCAACCTCCCTAGTGGCAGGGATTACAGGCACGCAACACCACGTGTAGCTAATTTTTGTATTCTTAGTAGAGATGGGGTTTCGTCATGTTGGCCAGGCTGGTCTCAAACTCCTGATTTCAGGTGATCCTCCCGCCTCAGCCTCCCAAAGTGCTGGGATTACAGGGGTGAGCCAATGCACCTGGCCTTCTTTTAAATCTTGAATGGGCTTCCCTCCCTTCTGTCTCAGGCCCTTTGCAATCTTCCTATCCTAAACATTTCAGATAAAATGTCATGTTCTCAAAAAGGCCTAGGTCATCACCTGTCTTACATTCTCAAAGCTCATTCTACTTTTTTTTTAACAGCCTTATTACAATTTTTAGTTCTCTGTGTCATTGCTCTTGGCTAACTGTTCGCTCCACTAGACATTGTGTTCTGTTAGAAGAAGGACAAGCTGTGTGCTCACCCTACATCTGCTCTCTCAGCCTCTAGTACAGTGTCTGAACAATTAAATAGCTGTTAAATAAGTAAAAGAAATTTCAGGGCAATATGGTTACATATCTGTTCTTTTATTATTCTTCATTCATGATCATATTTTGCTAGGTGTTTCTAGTTATAACTTCAAGACACCTCATTGTGTAATTTTTATATAGTGGCTGCTTTAAGACAGTTCAATTTTTATTTCTTTGATGATGAATAGAAAATTGGATAAGTACAATTTTGATTTTGTACTTTTTCTCTGCTTTTAAATCAGCTTTGTAATATAGAGTTATTGTTCTTCTGTGATTGGGAATTTGATGGTGTATTTTCATTAATTCCAGGTCATCACAATGTCAGTTTCATCTTAGATAACGATTATGGAAGGTAGGCTATTTTGTAAATAATAATTTTTATAATTTATTCAACTGGGTAAATAAGATAAAATGTATATTTACTTTGTGCCATAGATGCAGAGGTTTAAAAACTTAACTACTTTATTTCCCCAAATTAATAGTTAAAGAGTCTGTGATTTCTTTTCCCTCATAATTTAGGCTTCATACATAACCTTTCTGTTGTAGGGAAATCTAGCATTAACTAAAATAACATAAAAATCTTCACTTGTGTTATGGAAAAGTATTATTTTATGTACTGCAGCTTTTCTGATTTAACTGTAACTTTTTAAATAACTAAAGCAATTAAATTCAAATTTAAACTAATGGGAGAATAAATAAAACCTCATGGTTAATATTACCTGATAAAGATTTTCTTTTAAGTTATCAAGACATAAGGAGTTATGAAAGATGGTAGTTATATCTTTCAATTGTGCATCTTAACAGCAATATTAGTAACTCATATTTATGACTTTTAATAAAACTAGAACTCATTTCCAGATGTTCTACATTCTAATTTCAGTAAGAAAGATCATCATACTTTTATAGAAATATCAGAGTATGCAAATCTCAATGCATGTTGAAACCCCATATTATAGATAATAATAGTGAACATTTAGCAGCAGGCATGGTGTTAAGCACTTTACATACATTATCGAGTTTAATCCTCCTAAAGAAGCTCCCAAGGATAAATTAAGTGTTATCATCCACCCTATGTTATCCACTGGGAAAGTGAGACTTAGAAACATTAAATAATTTGCCTAGGGATATTCAGCTAGTAGGAAGCAGCATTAGTGTGCAAACTCATGCCATCTAACTCTAGGACCTGAGCATTTTATTCCAGTGCTTTGCCATGACTGATGGAGTGATTCAGCAACCAGTACTATATTTCATCATTACTTACGATCCTGATCCAGGATTCCATACCATAGCAGGATTTCCCTACTCTTGGGAGCATTTGCAAATGTGTGGAGAATCCCCTGACTGTCACAGTAACTGGGTATGTTAATGGCCTTTAGTGGCAGTATCATGATGTGCCAAACCCAAATCAATTGTTCTGCCCAAAATGTCACAGTGTTTCCTATTGAGAAAGTGAGTTGACAGAAATCCAAATAAATTGCATTAACACTCAATCCTAATATAGCTATAGTAGATCAATAATAGGAAAGATCTGTTAATTTATTTTTTGTCTCTAAACAATGATCAGAGGTCTGAAAAAATGGCAATATTACAATCAAAGTAGATATTATTCCTGGCAGCACTCACAGACTACAAGTGAAGGATGAGATTTTGTCCCTTCATGTATGGAACTGCAATTGGTTAGTGAACTCAAGTGCACTAGCATTGTATTTAGAGACCATCTACTTCTAGACATCTAGAGGCAATAGGTGTCATTATAACAAAATGATGCCTGACTGGACACTTTATTATAGACCAATATAGGCTAGATCAAAACTAAGAGTAAATCAGAGTGGAAGATATATAAACAATGCTATAATACAACTTTGTGATTTACATGGGACACATGACTTAGGGTCCCATAACTTAACAATTATTCTCTTCAGGGATGACCTACTTATATACGACTTGATAAGACAGGGCAACAGGATTTTGCTGAACATATTAGAAAACCATATTAGGGAAAATAATTATTGAGTTTTAAATGATTTTTTGAACTATACATGATTTTTTAAAATGCTCTTAGTAGCAACCTTCCCAAGGTGAAAGAAAAATGAATTCTTAGTTCTGAGTCTGTATGAAAAGCATTAATTGCCAAATCCATCATGTCTCTCAGAGAAATAATTATCCAAAAGTAGAAGATTTGAGTGATCAAGGTTGAATGTGATTGATAAGTACTCATAAATCAATATGCTGCATTAACATGCCCAGAAACTTTCAATTTAGAAATGCCAGCAAATTCACATATAATAGAAGCAAAAATACTGCATTAAATTGTTGATTCTATGGATTCAATTTATAATTCCACCCCCTACCCAATTTTAAAGCCAATGCCTGTTCCTTTGTACAAATGCCTTAGAATTGAGGAAATTTGTGTTTCTGTATAAAATATTCTTATGAATTTAAGATAACTGTTAGAAATATGACATTTATTATTTTAAAGCCTAGTTTTAAGATTACATGGTATTTTTTGAATGTTAAATCATTCATTAACTTATAAAGCTGATATTTCACAAATTTCATGAGCATTGTTGAATATCAAATGAACCAATTAAAGGCCTTTCTGTGGCATCTATTCTGTATTTCTTTTAATAGCCAACCTTCTCTTCTCTATTACCCCAAGTTCAAACAACAGCTGTTCCAAACTGATAAGGTTCAGACGATGCTGCCTTAATTGAGAAATGCCTAGTCATTATCAATGAATTAGTGAAAACAACCTCAGTGTCATCCAAAATAAATTACATTCAAATTTTATTTCAAGAGGCAATTTCCCCACTAACTTAAGAAGCAGAGTTAATTTTTGAGATGCAGGATCTGACCAGACACAATATCGTTGGAGCTAGCAAGGTTTCAGATCTTTGGGAAATCAGCCAAAAGGCTTCTGACATAAAAATATGAAATCTAGCATGAACTTCTTAAGTAGCTAATCTAGCATAAAATATTTCCAGAGACTCTTTAGTCTTGCAAATAAACATGGTAATGCCTGGGTTAGATTTATAGGAGCGTTAATTATTGGTCTCAATGACAAGATTTACATTATTCTTTTAAATTCTAATTCAGTATAACTATGATGAATGAGATATGAGTCTTAATATTTGAATTTCTTAACTTTTCTAATGGAGAATGTCTTGAACATAGTTAAAGTAACAGCATTTAATTTCCAGAATTATTTTCCTTCTTAATTCTTTAGGTTTATAGAAGTATAAGTGCATATCTATGAATAATAGGCACTGTGTTTATTAAGGACAGTTTTAACCCGGTCAATTATTGCTAATTTGCTGTCATCCACTTGCAGTGTCACACAGATTAGTGGGCGGAGGAGGAGTACTGTGTAATACACAGGTGAGGAGGGGCCACAGCTCTGGACTCAAACTGCCTGGGTCCAGTTCTGTGTCTGCCACTTACTTACTGTGCGATCTTAAGTTAATTCTCTGAAATTCACCTACCTCATGTGGTTGATGTAAAGATCAAACGGCATAATCATTTGAGAGGTCCTAGCGTGATCCCTCATCTTAGAACAAAAAAGAGGTTCTAAAAGAAGACAGACTGGCGTGGTCAGCAGAAGATCCCAGCCTTTATAAAGGGTAATCCTCTTGTATGCTTTTTTATGTCAATATAATTTCTTAAAATAAACTTTAGGGCCAGGCGCAGGGTCTCACAACTGTAATCCCAGCACTTTGGGAGGCCGAGGAGGACGGATCACGGGGTCAAGGGATAGAGACCATCCTGGCCAATATGGTGAAACTCCAACTCTACTAAAAATAAAACAAAATTAGCTGGGCGTGGTGGCATGCACATGTAGTCCCAGCTACTTGGGAGGCTGAGGCAGGAGAATCCCTTGAATCCGGGAGGCAGAGGTTGCAATGAGCCGGGATTGCACCACTGCACTCCATCCTGGCAACAGAGTGAGACTCCATCAAAATAAAAAAGAAAGAAAAAGAAATCAACTTTATTGAGATATAGATTGCAATTCAGTACCAAATGTATATATGTATGTCACCAACAACCAAATCAGAATAAAAAAAATTCTTATCCTCTTGCAAAAGTTTCATCCTGCTCTTTTGCAGATTATCACATAATTACTATCACCGAAGTTAAACAAAAAAGTTCCTAAATTAAAGATCATTTAAAGCAGAAAATTTAACCTTTTTTTAACAGGAGTTTTCCACAGAAAATGGCATATTTTGTTTCTTCTCTCGATAAAATTTCAATGTTTCAAACATATGCAGGTATGTGACTTTTCTTTCACTCTGTTGTAGGGGGGAAGACGGTGTATAATTGATTTAACCAAACCAAAGGCAATGAGTGTAAGGTGTATTATATTATTTGACGTACTACTAGGAAAGGAAAAATGCCTAAGATGCGGAGTCTAACAGAAAGCTCCAACATTAAGCAGAACCTCCCCCACAGCAGACAATACTCTTAGTGTAAGATTGATTGAAAAATAAACTCATTACACTAACACAGACAGCAGGGAAATTTGCATGTTTCAACTTTGGCTATTGGTAGAGGGAGGGAAAAAAATCTCCACTGTCAATCTTAACCAAAAACCAGTATAGATGCCTCTCAATTTACAATGGGATAACCCCATCATAAGTTGAAAATATTGTTAAATTGAAAATGCATTTAATACACTGAATGTGTATTAGCTTAGCTTAGCTTTCCTTAAACGTGCTCAGAACACTCACATCGGCTACATCATCTGACAACGCAGTGCTCTGCAGGTACAGGTTGTTTACCCTCATCATTGCGTGACTGACTGGGGGCTGCTGTTGGCTGTGCTGCTCAGCATCAGGAGAGCGTATGTATTTACCGCATATCACTAGCCTGGGAAAAGATCAAAATTCAAAATTCTAAGTACTATATTGTTTCTACTAAATTCATTATTTTTGCACCGTTGTAAAGTCAAAAAATCTAAAGTCTGACTTTGGTAACTTGGAGACCACTGAAACTGTCTCAGATTTATGCTCTCAGTGTGGTCCAAAAGAATCCTCAAGAAGATCATAATTTAATTTAAAGAGGTCTCAGGTTGATAGTATCCCTTGGAGAGTATCAGAACAAACACGAGTCATCCTGAAAGAATTGTACTTCACTCCATGTCAGGAGTAATGGAAAGATACATTTAGATTTCAAAGACGTTAAAAAAAGTGGGTCTTGGAATCAATCAATTGTGATATATCTTGGCTTTTCCTAGAAGCTTATTTAGTGTGAAATTCACATGTAAGAATGCATAGGTATTTGATAGAGTTAATAAGGATAAATTTTAGTAAGAATCTGCCGTATGTCATGTACTGGGCTATTTTACAATATACCTACAACTTACATATACAAAGCCACAAGAAGTTCAATCATAGTTAAATGTATTACTAGAAGAGAAAATTATAAAAGGTTGGTCCATGAACATAGGAAAGGTTCATTCTTCAAGAGCGTATGGAAGAAGAGTGGTTCTACCTGCCTTCCTGCTCAGCTCAGGTTTTCCTTACTTCTTTAACGCTCGTGTTACCAATGTTGCTTTAATACCAGTCACCACCAAAGCCTGGTCCTCATGGAATGTAAGTCTCTGTCAATGCCATGTTTATTGTCCTTTTTGCAGGATTGCATCAGAGAAAGTAATGAAACACCTAATTTATGCAGTTGGTAACAAAGGTGCTATGGCTAGGCAATTTGGAAGTTTTAAAAAATCAGGCATTTGCGTTTATGTGTAATATTTATGGTATTTTATTTAATGTGCTTTTACTCCAGAGGTCACTATGATTTTCCCTTCACAAGGAAGCATTCGAGGTGGCACCACGCTGACAATAAGTGGGCAGTTCTTTGATCAGACAGATTTCCCCATCAGAGTTCTAGTTGGAGGTATTTCTCATGTTTTTTTGATATATTACCTTATTACCACCAATTCTGCCTGTTCTTTAATAATTTGTAAGACTAATAATAGTCTTTTCTCAACTCATGCCTTCAACTGGAAGCTGAGTATTTTCACACAGTCATTTGGTTCTGGGGTTTGATACTCTTTCCATTGCAATTTTCCAGCAAGGGCCACTCCCTGAAACCTCATGTGAATAGGACCTGAGCTCTAGGGTTGGCACCAACAGGCTTTGTGTAGCAGCATTGCAGCTGCCATCCATGAATTCCTCGCCACAGTTTAAGGACACACTTACCCTTAATTTAGAAGCTCTTAAATGCCCTTTTTGAATGGTTGTTATTTCTCAGAGAGTTAGCTAATTGTGAGGAAATTTAAAGTAATATTTTGGGTTGTTTTCATATTCTTCTCATATACTGTGCCTCATCTGGACATCAGTAATCACTGATGATACTGGCCTTGAAAAGAGCAGTAATTTCAATGAGTTGTCTATTTACAAGTGCATGTAGGACTTGGTTCTGTGGTTATGCTTCACTTTTATGTGTCCTGTCCAGATCTGTTCAGAGGTAGGCAGCTATGCAGCTCAAAAGGAGTGAATGTGATCTTGGGAATCTTCCCATTCATCCATAATGACATCACTTCTATTGCTAGTCAGGGGACAGGATGCCTGCCCATGGAACAAGGCATATGCATTTCTACAGTCCTTTTGCTCAAGTACTTTCTACCTTTTACAGAATCTGCCTGCAAGCCAGCCAAAATGTGATTTCAGAAAAAAGAGAAATGGATATTAAGCAACCTCACATAATATTTATACACTCTTCTTTCGTGTCTGCATGAATCCTTGCTGGTCATTGGCATACATATTAAAACCTGGGCCATAAATATTTAAAATTCATATATGTATTAATCTGACCAGATTTTATGTTTTAAACATTAAAACCCAGGCCATAATGCACTTTTAATTTACATAATATGTTTTATAATCTGATCTTATGTTTGTTTTGCATATGACTATGATGTTGTTGATATGAAAAGAGAACATATTAGTTTTCTATCATCTTTCGTTACCATTAATATGGCAACCAGATTCCAGATTTTGAATCCTCAATAATCTATTAAAAACATGATGTTTATGTATCTTTCCTTTGCTTCCAATAAAATGAGTGGTTGGTTTAATATACTGTTCCTATTTACTGTTTTCTGGTTCAAATTTCTTGCATCAATAAAACATTCAAAATAATGAAAGGGGCTGGGTGCAGTGGCTCATGCCTGTAATTCCGGCAGTTTGGCAGGCTGAGGCAGGAAGATTACTTGAGCTCAGGAGTTTGATACCTGACTAGGCAATGCAAGGTGACCTGTCTTTACGAAAAAAAAAAAAAAAAAGGCTGGCATAGTGGTGCATGCCTGTAGTTACAGCTACTAGAGAGGCTGAGATAGGAGGACTGCTTGAGCCCAGGAGGTGGAGGCTGCAGTGAGCTATGATCATGCAACTGCACTCCAACCTGGGTGACAGAGCAAGACCCTGCCTCAAAAAACACACAAACAAATAAAATAGTGAAAAGTAATGTCAAAATTTAAATTTTCCAGGCTATCAAACAAAACTTGGCAAAAATATCTCTCTCCATTTCCGTTGTCCTCACATTTCATGGGCTGCGATTGCCATTTCAGTGACTACTTTCTGAGGCTGACCATATGTGAGGCATTGTGAGGAACACATGGAGTTTAAAACATAGACTCTTCTCGCAAGTCTAATTGTGCTGATGTAAAAGTTACAATAGCTATCTTTGAAGCCTTTTTCCTGTTTTAGTTTCAGTTTATCTGTGAAAATGCCATTTAACAGTTATTACCCCCCTTTTTTTTCATTTGAAGAACTTGGACTAAACCAGCATTTTTCCTGCTCAAGAGGTCTGGGGTCATCTATCTACCTTTGCAAATTCTGAATGACACGGGTTTATTCAGCAGCTTATCTCCAAGGAACAAAATAGAAGTTTTTACTTTGGATTCGGAAGTGATACCTTGTGCAAAGACATAGTATTGTCAAATTTTTTATCTCAGAAATTATGAAATTTTCTATCTCAGGCTTGTGATGTTCCACCAGAAAAAATGTTGCTTTGTGGAAGTATGACAATTATTGCATGAAAAGCTTTAATGGAGAATATGTAAAGGAAATAAAGAGCCCCAATTTGCCTCTTATTTATGCACCTTTGTTTTAATTGCAAAAGTGCTTAAAGATACACTGATGTGATTGCATTCTGAAGTTTCAGTAGTAACGGTTTTGTATCTTGCTTCTCTATAGGTGAACCTTGTGATACTTTGAATGTCACGGAAAAGAGTATATGTTGCAAGACACCCCCCAAACCTCATATTCTCAAAGCTGTATATCCAGGTAAGTTACCATCAGGGAAAATGGCCATTTCTATATTTACATAAAAATAATATATTAGTAAAAATATTATTTAAACTTTTTGGAGTTTAGAATTTGTAGGAAGAATTGTAAGAAATTTCCTCCAAGTTTTAAAATTTACATTTTCTGGATTAGAAAATATTTCTATTAAAATCACTGCCACAAAGCTGCACCTGTGGAGAAAAACCCAGCCTAAATTATCAAGACACCCTACTGAAAACAGCACATCTCTACTGACAGAGCTTAATTATGCTTTTATTTCTAATTAAATTATGATAACTAACACTTGGTACAGTCTACATAGAAATGTTTTAAATGCTTTTTTCTGATTAAAAAAGATAAATAGGGGAAGTTAAATATTCACTTGTCTAGAAAAATGTGGGAGTGAAAACAGGAGATGAGAGAAATGTTCCTCTAAATTCTTTTCAGACTTTCACCTTGTGACCCAGTGGAATTGCTTTCCTATCTACACTAATAACATTGAAATGCTGTACATGTGTCTGCGTGTGGTGTGTGTCTCATATCTTGCTTGCACAGTGAAAGTTGTTTATAATCGTGTCATTGTTTCACATTTGAAGCCAATTAAATGGTTTACCAACCTCTTACATTTCTTTGGTTTGAATATTAGGAAAAATTGAGCAGTTTAAGAAAATAATTTTGATAATTTATAATTGATGACTTTAAAGAAAATTGTATACATCACTAAACCCTGCTGCTGTAAAAGTTTGAAGTGCTCAAGCTTGTCTTCAACCAAATTCAGCTGAAGAAGAGTAGCCATTATTTTCCATGTACAGACAAGCTCAAGGCTGTTAAAGAAAGAAATAAGCCTAATTGTTGTTGCAGTTGAAGGAAAAGAAAAAGAGAGATGGCTCCTTTCTGATTAGGAAAAAAAACTTAATCACAGGGTTTATTCTGGCAAGTATAGGTACAGTTTATTGAGAATATCCTGTTTTTGATTCTGTCCAAGAAGGAGAAGAAATCCTAGAGTAGAAGTATTTTTTTTTTTAAAGTAAAACAAATATTGAGAGAAACATGAAAGCCAACATTTTCTCTTCTTTGATTAATGGCTTTGTAAGCCATTAATTTACTTTTGTTAGAATAGTCAAGGCAAAGGTTTTGTATTAAAATGGCATGAATCTTGAAGTTTTGCAACATCAGCTATATCATAAGTAGAAATTACTATATATTATCTTACATAAAGCACTTTTTAAATGCCAGATGTTTTGCATATGTATTATACATAATTCCTATAGCAGCTATGCAAATATTATTATTACTCCCATTTTACACATGTGGAAACTGAGGCTCAAATAAGTGAAGTAATAGTGAACAAATTGCAGGCTGCCCCCTGGCTACAGGTAAGTGTAGGGGAATATGTAATTGTTTTGCTTTCACACATGCTAAAAATATGAATTGATATACAGAGTCTATAACCCACACCCAAATAGAAAGCCACTGAGACATTGCATTATGATACTGATGAAAGACTTATTTTATTTCATCACACTTAGGAGGGAGAGGCCTGAAGCTTGAGGTATGGAATAATAGTCGTCCAATACATCTGGAAGAGATACTGGAATACGATGAAAAAACCCCCGGGTACATGGGTGCCAGTTGGGTAGATTCAGCTTCCTATATTTGGCCCATGGAACAAGACACATTTGTTGCACGCTTTAGTGGATTTTTGGTGGCTCCAGATTCTGATGTTTATAGATTCTACATCAAAGGTGATGACCGTTATGCTATTTATTTTAGCCAGACTGGACTTCCAGAAGATAAGGTAGGGTAACCTCAGAATACTATTTGATACTATAAAAACATTATGATGATGTTTATATGTATCTTACTTACTTTAAATCAAAACAAATGAATGTATTAAAAATGTATGAGAAATGATGTCATGTGGTTTGGCTCTTGGCTATTATCCTGGATATGATACAAGATGTAAGATGATAGAAAACCTATAGCCTACAAGAAAATTTCCCATACCTGAAAATGGGAATTTCATTATTCTACATTTACTTGGTCATGAGATAAAAGTTATTTCACTATTTTGTTTTTTTCATAAATAGAATTATACATTCAATTTCGTATGTAGTTTTTCACATACTAGTATTAAATACTAATTTTATTAAACAATTTATATAATCACTATTTTTAATGACTAAGTACTGTTATTACATGGGTTTACCAAGCTTAGATAACCATCTCCCTACTGATAAGTTTTTATTTACTTCTGGTATTTTATGACCACAAATAATACTACTCTATTGAACATCTATGTTCATTAAACTTTTCTGTATTTGGGATTATTTTGTTAGGACAATTTCCAAATATGAAACTAACAGATCAAATCAATTTAACCTTTTATGACTCGACTTATGTGGCAAGATTGCTTCCCAAACTGGTTGTGTAAGTTTAAATTGCTACCTGTAATTTATGAATTCTAATTTTTATCATCGTTTGTACTGAAAAGCATGTGTACTCCAAAGATGGTATAATCATTCATAATGGGAAGCCCAAAGTCCTCTCACTCTAGTGTGCAGAACCATTTAGCAATCTTTGGCAATCTAATTTGGATTAAATCTCTCAAAGTTCTCCACAGAGCAAAAGAATATTTTATTTGTCAATAACTGCCTTTCTCCTGGTATGTATCTTCTTAGTTTCACCTTGCGGGTTCGTATGTTTATGGAAAGCTCATGATCTGTGTAGCATTTACCTCGCTACAGTACTGTTGCATGTTTACTTAAGGGTAGAAGGAATGGAAGTGAGCTTTTGATAATTTAAAAAAAAGTATGCTAGGTAGATAACAGTCTTAAAAGAAAATATTAAGTAGTTTTACATTTTTGTTACTTATGAAATTTCTAAACTGAAATTAAATGATAAATTAAATCAAGTAAATGTTGAAAAGGTCTATTAATAAATTCTCATCTCTCTGGGATTAGGGAGGATTGATCATTCTGGCTTAATGCACACGTTATTTTTCCAGTCCAACACAAAAGTATCAGAGGAATATTGCATCTGCAGAAGAGGAAAGAGTAAGGTTTGTTTCTTGTCGTTTAATTATCTGTGGTGGTCATTAACTTTACGTTTGTATTTTTTAATATATACCACAACACAACACCCACACACCACAACACAACATATAGTATATAATATTTTTTTTTTTTTAGACGGAGTCTCCCTCTGTCACCCAGGGGTGGAGTGCTTTGTGGCCCTGATCTCGGGCTCCACTGCGAAGCTTACGCTCCGGGTTCATGCCATTCTCCTGCTCAGCCTCCTGAGTAGCTGGGACAAGGGCGCCCGCCACCATGCCCGGCTAATTTTATTTTACTTTTTAGTAGAGACGGGGTTTCGCCGTGTTAGCCAGGATGGTCTCAATCTCCTGACCTTGTGATCCGCCCACCTTGGCCTCCCAAAGTGCTGGGATTACAGGCGTGAGCCACCGCGCCCGGCCTATATTTTTTAATATTTTCAATTTATTTTTATTGGTGGAAGTGGATATTAGTTTATTGGCTTAATTTATAATTGGTCATTCACTATAATTTTATTCAAATGTGTTTCTTTATTTTCAAGAATACTGGCATTCAGCTAACCAGGGAAATTTGAAGTCTAGAATAACCCTGTTGCAAACTTACACTTTTGTGAAATTACTTGATCCTGTTCTTAGTTCTTTACTTGGACCTCTCAAACAATCCACCCATCCAATTTCTCTGTTCCTGCAGCTGAGCTCTTCAGTATTGCTAGGGAAAAATCACTAAGCCACATAGATTGTTGCCACTGTTAATGTGTATTTGTTATTAACTGGTTTATTCCAGGCCCTGAGCCAGGTACTGGAAATTTGAGAATATTAAAATACACTGCCAGAACTGACAGAGCATATCGCTTAGTGTTGAAAGGTCAAGTCCAAGGAGCCAATGAGTGGAATTATCATCCAAATACCAGATAATCCCATTCAAAAAGCCATTCAGAATTCCTAGGAAACAGGAAGATAAAAGACATGATACATTCAAAATGGAGAAGGTGGTGGAATGGAGTTAACATGAAGAACATCAAAAGATGCATTGAGATCATATTCATCATTTGGATCTGTTAGACTTTACTGTATAACAAAGCACTTCAGACTGTAGCAACTTCAAACAACAAGTGTGTATTATTTTTCACAATTTTATAGTTGGCTGAGCTGTTCTTTTAGTCCTGACTAGTTTAGTTGGGGATTGGTAACCTAGAATGCCTCACTCACATGTCTGGAGCCTCAGCAGGCATGGTTGAGTGTTAGATATCTGGGGCATCCCATTGCACATGGTCTCTCATCATCCAGGAGACAAGCCCAAGTTTGTCACATTGTGGATGTGATCCCAGCAGTAAAGAGGGGAGTCCTAATGCACACACACTCTGCAATACTCTGTCTGTGTCACATTGGCTGATATCCCATTGCCCAAAGCAAGTGACCAAGCCTAGACTCAAGGATGCAGAAATAGACTTCCCTTCTTGATGGGAGGAATGCTTTTTTCTTTATAAATTTACCTCATCACCCTTTCAGATATTGATGAAGTTATGCTCAGAGGCAGCATCATGAGGATCTTATGGAACTGGACAGGGAGGGTTGGGATCAACGGAACCTGGGAGCAAATTAATGTTCTCACACTGAATGTTCTCGCTGAGGTCTTGGTAATACTGACATGGGGAAAAAGTTTTATTCCTTTTTTCCTCCTTCTTCTACTTTCACTTCTTTATATATTAAACATTTTCTTCTATAACCATGAAAACTACTGGGCCAGGTCAGGATAAATGGAGTGCCTGATTAATCCCTACTGCAATTAAGTGTCAGTACATTTTCAGACTTTGGCTTGTTCTTGGAAAATGAGTTCAGTCTACCAGCTTGGCAGGAGCACAGAGTTTGAGTGAAAGCAACTCCTAATACATCTGCTGCCTGGTGTCTGTGCTCCTGCAAAACCAGCTTGGAATTTACATACTGTGCTTACAATGATTGCTGTGAAATCTGAAATTGAGGCCACTCTAGCTGGTTTATTATAATGTGGTTTTTCAAGCCTTTCCAAAGGTAGCTCATATTGCTAAATCATTCTACTCAAATACCACAAATATAGTTTCCTCTAGTGCATATGTTTTTGGTCACCTTATTCTGTTTGGAATTCTCCCTCAGTAACTAGTTTAAAAAAATTTTGAATCCTTAAAATTCCATTAGCGTTTGTTATTCATATGGAGAAAGGAATAATATCTGTTTTATGAAACTTTTGTGACGATTAAATATAATAACGTCTGCAAAGTGCTTAGTTTATTGTCTAGTACAAAGAAAGTACCTAATTAATAGTTTAAAGCCATGAGTAAGGATGCAAAATTTTAATGGTTCTTCTTTGAATTCTGCTCTTTAATTAGTGTTGGTCATCTCAAGTCAGCAGAACTGATGAGCAGGTTCTTACGGAAGTCAAGAGCCTGATATAATCCCCAAATATCAGTTCCATCAGGCAATGATCCAGAACCCCATCATTCTGCACATATGAAACATGATAAATTTCCCTCATTCAGACTCTTTCATGAACTGTGGATACTGATCCTCCCTATATAAGTATATATGTTGAGTGATGTGAGACAGTTTAGGGAAGCTCCCAGCTGTCCTCTCCAAAGATGTGAGCAATGGTGACATTGCTAGAGATTTAGAGGAGAAGCAGTAGTTTTGCACTCTCCTGTAACAGCTGCTCAGTGAAGGCATTACCTTGGGTACCCAGTAGGATGAGGGGCAGGAGACATCAAGAATCAGGAATTCAAAATATAAAGTGAAAATCCCATCCAGCTAGTTGGAGGTCCATAGTAAATCTGACCAGTAAAAGTTTCCTGAGGCAATATTTTATTCCCCAAGTTACAAATGGAGCCAAATTTAAGGAACATGAAAGTAGGAACCTTTATTCCTGACAAATATAACCCCTCAGATATAAAGTATATGCTATGTCTAAGCCTGACATTTTCTTGAACACATTACAATATTTAACCTCTGCATGTTGTCTCTGCTATATGCCAGGGACAGGGTTATTTTTCAGGATCTTGAGTATAGGAACTAGTATTGTCTTCAATAAATATTTATTGACTAAGCTGAATGAATTGGTTATGAATGAGAACAACTTTCTACTAATGCAGATACCTTACATAATTCATTTTATTTTAGCAAACTGCTATGAAAATTTTAACATTTGAATATTTAAAATATGAGATACTACAATATAAGTTATTTATCAGGCAGGCTTTTAAAATATTGTTGATATATTATTCATTAAAATAATTTCATGGCAAGTGTTGTGGAAAAAAGTTATATTCATTAGTTACTCTATTTTCCAGATATTATATTGAAATCTTGCTGCAGGAGTACACATTAAGTGCATTTGTTGATGTCGGACTGTACCAGTATCAAAATGTTTATACTGAACAACAAACAGGAGATGCAGTGAATGAAGAACAAGTTATCAAATCCCAGTCGACAATCATCCAGGAAGTACAGGTTTGCTATGATTATAGTTCCACTTACAGAAAGTAAATGTCCGAAGGCAGGATCTCAATTTGGTTATTAATTTTACTAGGTAAGATACTGTTTTAGGTGAAAGCCGTCATGGACAATTATTGAATTATTACTTTGAGTATCTGTATTATAAGCCAAAAAGGCTGTTACTTGTCATTTGTAGTAAAATAGAGCAATAAAGTGACATTGAATAGCTGAGTTATGATGCTTTTAAAGTATATATAATTTTCATATATTAAAAATATTTTTTAATTGGAAAATAGGTTATAACATTAGAAAACTGGGAAACAACTAACGCAATTAATGAAGTTCAGAAGATCAAGGTAACCAGCCCCTGTGTGGAAGCTAATTCATGTTCACCTTACCAATACAGATTAATCTATAATATGGAAAAAACTGGTAAGTTATAAATAATAAGGGAGATACTGTTTCTGTTCATGCATAGATATAGCCATAAAGTATTTGCTCCAGTCAAATCATACTGTCTAGAAAATATAGTTTTGATGATAGGCTAGACAAAGAAGCAGAAAAATATATTATGGCAAAAAGCCTTCAGACTGGAATAGAAAACAACATCCATGTAAATAACTTTCTGGCATATACCATCATTTTCTAACAATAATGATAACTATATATCTAAATGCACATGGAATTTATATATCTGTTACTCACAAGTGTAAGTTAAGAAAATGGGAATTGTGAATAGTTAACCCAAATGCCCATCAATGATAGACTGGATAAAGAAAATGTGGTACACCATAGAATACTGTGCAGCCATAAAAAGGAACAAGATCATGTCCTTTTCAGGGACATGGATGGAGCTTAAAGCCATTTCCTCAGCAAACTAACTCAGGAACAGACAACCAAACACTGCATGTTCTCACTTATGAGTGGGAGCTGAACAATGAGAACACGTGGACACAGGGAGGGGAACAACACACAGTGGGGCCTGTTGCGGGGTGGGGTCAGTGCCGGGAGGGCATTAGGTTAGTTCATGCTGGGCTTAATACCTAGCTAATTCATGCTGGGCTTAATACCTAGGTGATGATAGGTTGATAGGTGCAGCAAATCACCATGATCTACGTTTACCTATGTGACAAACCTGCACATCTTGCACATTTACCCCAAAACTTAAAATAAAAATAAAAATTTTTAAAGGAATTAAATTCATCATTGCACAGAAGTAAACATGTCTTTCAATTTTTTAAATTAAATGATAGGCGTATGGAACACCAATTTTTATCAGCTAAAAAACAAAAACAACATGGCATTTCTTTTTTTTTTTTTTGAGACGGAGTCTTGCTCTGTCGCCCAGGCTGGAGTGCAGTGGCGCGATCTCGGCTCACTGCAAGCTCCGCCTCCCGGGTCCACGCCATTCTCCTGCCTCAGCCTCCCGAGTAGCTGGGACTACAGGCACCAACCACGACGTCCGGCTAATTTTTTGTATTTTTAGTAGAGACGGGATTTCACCGAGTTAGCCAGGATGGTCTTGATCTCCTGACCTTGTGATTCGCCCGCCTCGGCCTCCCAAAGTGTTGGGATTACAGGCGTGAGTCACTGCGCCCGGCCGCATTTTTATATTTTATAACAAATCCTAAAATATAACTTTCACTATTAATGTTAATTTTTTTAACCAGTAAATATTGATGATTGTTTATTCTTTGCCAAATCCAATGATTATTACTGTGGGAATATTAGAACAATAAAATATCAGCCCTGTCCTCAAAGAGATCACAAATTAAATATTCAATATTACTGAACTTGAATCAATTTCAAAATACAATTTCTCTAAGTGATAACTTACATGGTACAGAGTGTAGGTGCTTTAAAAATGTAAATACAAGACATCAGTGTTGGCTGCGGTAGCTCAGATTTCAACTTTTCTGTTTGTTTGTTTGTTTGTTTTAATCCAATCCAAAGTCTTCCTACCTGCTGATGCTTCTGAATTCATACTGCAATCAGCCTTGAATGACCTCTGGTCTATAAAACCAGACACAGTTCAAGTAACAAGAACACAGAATCCCCAGAGCAATATCTACACGGTAACATTCATATCAACTAGAGGTAAGCATGTATTTAATTTTGCACTTGTAGGAAACAAATGTATATCCTGTGCCACTCTAAAAGTTCTATAAGATGACAGAGAAAAAGACTTAGTTTAATGTCAGCAGAAATTAAATGGTTATTTTTTTCTATGGTAATTTAAATTTTAGTTGTATTTCAAGGAATGTACAACTCCAATGCATGAGAAATGCACTATACATACTACAAATGCATTTTCCATATAATAGCCTACTTTATAAATTAGTAAAAACTAGTGAAAATATTCTTTCTGAAAATAAAATTTAGGCAAACCAATATTGTCCAGGAGACACTCATCTGATCAAATCTTGCCTACTGAAAGGATTTTGTGGTCAAATTCACATGGGAGACACTGTAGACCATGGGTCTTCCTTCAAGACTGGCAGAGCTCGTTGGAATATTAAAATCCCTGAGGAGTCCTGCAGTATTAAAAAAAAAAAAAAAGGAAAAAGAAAAAAGTCAATTCACCTGTGTTTAATGCAAACTTATTTTTTCTCTCCATCTTTTTTTTTCAAGTAGTAGCTATTAACTTCCTGTTACTGTTTTACGCAAAACACTTTTGGAAATATTGACATAGACATTCTGCCTTCAAGTCAGACTTCACAACTAACTTGGCTATTTGGTATATTTAGCCCAGAAAGTGGGTCCCTGAATGTGTGTTTATGTATGTGTGCGTGTTTACTTTTCTTTGGGTAATCATTATTTTTCAATTCATGTAAGTAAAATGTTACTTCAATATTTGTGTCTCATTTTATGAAATTGTTTAGTTTATTTGATTGTTGAGTGGAGGATAAAGAATTTGATTTTACATGAATTTAAGTTTTAAAAAGTGTACGAAAGTTAGATTGTCAAAATAGTTATGAATAAACATATGAATATCCTTTCTGATGTATTTTTATATATCAGAGAGAAATTTTAAGACTTCAGCAGACACCTTAAGAAATATGGTACCCAAATCCTAACTGGGCAGATTTTAAGACTTTCCCCAACAAAAAGGGTCAAAAAGATCAGTGAGATTCCACTGGTAGAGCATCCTTTCAAAGAACAGACATTTGAGGACAGGCCTTATTCCTCTTGAAGTGGCAAAGTCGATGATTATCATACTAAGTGGCATGGTATGAACAAACCTCACAGGTCAGAGATTGTTTCCTGGAATTCATCTTCGTGCCCTATTCATGTCTAAAGAAAACAGCAGTATTTCAGCTGAGCATTTGCACTAAAATAATGGTACTAGCACAAAACTAAAAGAATTTTTGGAATATCCTACTGCCCATTGATCTTTATCTCACGGTCCTAATACATCAGTCTGTTTATCTTACAATACTTCCTTTTGCATAGAAACAGTGCCTTAAATATATAGCACTTTGTCTGTTTTGCCATTTATGCTATGGATAAATCTGCTCAAATTTAAGGATCTACATCGTCCCCATTCTTCCTTCTTTTGTGATAATGGAGCACCAAATGAAACCAATTTGGCTACATTTGAGTGTCTATTTAATATATATATATATATATATATATGTAGTTTTATATATAGGCATTTTATTAGTTAACTTCTACAAATTCTGTTTGGCACTTAATTTCAGGAGATTTTGATCTGCTTGGTTATGAAGTAGTTGAAGGGAATAACGTCACACTGGATATTACAGAACAAACCAAAGGAAAACCCAACTTGGAGACATTCACACTGAATTGGGATGGGATCGCTTCTAAGCCACTCACTCCATGGTCATCAGAGGCTGAAGTATGCTGTGGGAATGTTTCTACCACGCATTTTCCCTGCACCCTCTCACATCATTCATGGGCCATTTGTAGACAAATGAGAAAGAGATATTACTTGAAAAAAATCACTGCAAATTATTTATCCCCTGATCGACTCACCATAATTTATATACTGTGAACACTTTTATCTGAAAGGAGACTAAGAGTCAACCTAGTGCAGCCACCCCTTTTTCCAGACAAGGCATATATCAAAGGTTCCAAACCCTTGCCCTGCCTATGTGTAGAAGCTCTGAGTCCCTCTAACCACACGGGCATTGTTCTTCACTCAAAACCCAATTTATTATCCTGCAAAATCAGAAATTCCTTGAGAGATGTAGTGCAATAAAAGCTTAGCTATAAAGTGTTGGTTAAATATCCTATTATTTTATTAAACAGAACACCATTTAAATGTCAACCTTTTATAAAGAACACTTTAAGGAGGAGTAATACATTCTTCTATTTGGCGTGATAGGTTGGAGCCTACCCATAGTGAGGAGAGAAGGGAGGAAATATTCCAAAGACAAGAGAAGGAAAGGGGAGTTCTTAGGTCTGTGCCAACAGGGTCTAATGTACCTCTATAGGGGGCAGCTGTTCAAAAAGAAAGAATGCTTGTGAGTTACAACATTTTGACAACTTATCTGGACAATGAATGTAAGTTAACATTTGTTTGCAGATTAAAGAGTATATATTGTCTCAAGCCCTTAATTCTAAGTGACAATTATTTCTGTGCTTTGCTGGAGAAATTGATATGGAAATTATAGGAGACTTGTGAATATGTGCTAATTTCTGCATAATCTTCAATAATTTATTATTTTTGAATAATTATAAATACAAGCTTACAGCATATGCATCTAATCTTTTTTGAGACGGAATCTCGCTTTGTCACCAGGCTGGAATGCAGTGGTGTGATCTCCACTCATTACAACCCTCCGCCTCCCAGGTTCAAGTGATTCTCCTGCCTCAGCCTCCTGAGTAGCTGGGACTACAGGCGTGCACCACCATGCCCAGCTAATTTTTGTATTTTTAAAAGAGACAGGGTTCCACCATGTTGGCCAGAATCTATTGGAGTGTATCTTTTTTTTTTTTTCCCAGTTACTTTTGAGTTAGTTGGAAAAATTATTTATTTGGAATCTATCTAATTGGGTACTAATTAATTTAGGTTTGCTTCATTGCTCTCTTTAAAAAGCTACTAAACAAATATGTCTGCCTTATGTAATAACTAAGTATGGCTAATATTAGCCAATTCTATGTAACTATTGTTATTCTAGAATAAAAGTTTTGAAAACTCATTGGCCACTAAAATTATCACTCTTAAAATTATTTAGAAAGTTAACTCATAATCATGACTAAAGTATGGGAATTATGAAAATGTTCTATTAGAACTAATTAGTAGAATCAGGAGTAGGATTACTAGTGTTCTAACTTTTCATGAAAAGAAGTTACTAATGTTTATATTGTTAATTTAGTTTCAGGGAGCAGTGGAAGAAATGGTTAGCAGTAAGTGTCCACCACAAATTGCAAATTTTGAAGAAGGATTTGTTGTGAAATACTTCAGAGACTATGAAACTGATTTTAATCTGGTATGAAATATTTAGTAAACTGTGAAACTAACCAAATGATAATTTATATAATGGTTTGAAATTTTATAATTTCTTTTTTGAAGTAGCATTAATAACTTAGTCATTCACAATCAAATTGCAAAAATGACTTTGTTATACATTTATTGTAAGGGCTGTTGGTAGGTGCTATTGGTAGTGCCTTCTATGATTTGTTTGTCAAAAAATTTTTACTACTCATGAATTTTCTTACTAGAAAGTAGGAAAGCTGAACAAAGGTAAGATTTGTAGTGTTTTTGTTTATTTTGTGTATTAGGCCATTGTTGCATTGCTATAAAGAAATACCTAAGACTGGGTAATTTAGAAAGAAAAGAGGTTTAATTGGCTTACAGTTCTGTAGGCTGTATAGGAAGCATGATGCTGGCATCTGCTCAGCTTCTTGGAAGGCCTTGGGAAACTCTCAATCATGGTGAAGGTAAATGGGGAACAGGCACGTGAATTGGCTTGGTCAAAGGCAAGAGAAGAGAGTGGGGCGGTGCCACACACTTTTAAACAACCAGACCTTGTGAGAACTCACTCACTGTCATGAGAACAGCACAGATGGGATGGTGCTAAGCCATTCATGAGAAATCCACACCCATGATCAAGTCAACTACAAACAGGCCTCACCTCAAGCTTTGGGGATTACACTTCAACATGCAATTTGGTGGGGACACAGATCCAAATCATGTCATTTTGCTTGTGCTTTCTTTTTCTTTTCTGTCTTTTTTTTTTTTTTTTTTTTTTTTTTTTTTTTTTTTTTTTTTTTTTTTTTTTTTTTTTTTTTTGAGATTGAGTCTCACTCTATCACCAGGTTGGAGTGTGTTGGTGCAATCTCGGCTCACTGCAACGTCCGCCTCCCGAGTTCAAGCAGTTCTCCTGCCTCAGTCTTCCAAGTAGCTGGGACTACAAGCACCTGCCACCACGCCTGGTTAATTTTTGTATTTTTGGTAGAGATGGGTTTTCACCATGTTGGCCAGGATGGTCTTGACCTCTTGACTTCGTGATCCAACCGCCTCGGCCTCCCAAAGTGCTGGGATTGCAGGCATGAGCCACCGTGCCCAGCCTTGGTTTATGTTTTCTTAACATGGATGCACAGTATATCCTTTCTCCTCATTGACTTAAGAGATTATAATATATGGTGGGGCATTATATGTTTTTATGTATTATGTAGTTTTATATAATTGCTTCTCTTGCTTTTTGACATAACACTCTGGTTAATTAGTACACGGCCCAGTCATTATTTCCTTCTTAATGAGATATTTTCTTTAATATAGAGTAAAGGAAGAAAATTGAATGTATGCTTTCTAATTCTCATTTTCAAGTCTTCAGGAAGTCAGCTATTTGCTATTTCCAAGTGAAAACTGTAAGAATAAAAAATGTATACTCCAGTTATTTAATTCGGATCAACACCCTGGATATAAATATAAATCCTTAAAAATATTTCTCATGATACTTTTCATGAGCAGATTAGTGAGAAAAAATCTTTCCATTTAATAGATGACCTTTTTAGCTTCGTTTAATAAACATATGTGTATTTATGTTCTATTTTGAATGTAGTACTAGCAGCCATGAGGATGGCACCTGTAATTTACCTTTTACTCCTTACCTACTTCATCTCTCATCATTACCCTCACGTGCATTTCCATGCTGCATCTAACCTTAACAGTTTGCGTTCCCAGCACCATGCTCTCTCACACCTCTGCTTTTTTGTACAATTTTGGCCTGTCTCTGAAGCCCCTACTTTCTTTTTACCATTTGCACAGTGCCTTTGACACCTTTTTTTCCATTCCAACAACTGCTATTTATCTTTAAAGACTTAACTCATTGTCACTTCCCCTGAGTCATCTTTCTTGACGCTTTTATGTGAGTTAGATGCCTCCCTTGAGCCTTAGTTTGATCATCATTGGCTTCTTTGTCTTAGACGGATGGTCTCTATTTACAGGGATGGGGTTCTTCACCACTTGAATCCTAAAGATTAAACAGCAAACACACAAACAAGCAGAAACCTGACACACAGTAAACACTGCATAAACACTCATGGAAAGAATGAATAAATACCCATAAAGAGCTCATAGTGTAAGGAAAAAAGTCGAACTTGGGAACTAGTCAAATACTGGTATAAGGGATTATATAATTATGGATCCAAATGAGAACTTTAGATTTCAGACAAGGAAGAAAACATCTCAAGTTAAAGTAATCGGGGAAACAATGGTATCTGGGTTAAACCTTGAATGGTTTGGGGCATACATTGGGGGAAAACCAGAACAATAAATCATGTTTTCATTTGAAATATTATTGTTTCGGTAGGAACATATTAACAGAGGGCAGAAGACAGCTGAAACTGATGCTTACTGTGGTCGTTATTCCCTGAAAAACCCAGCTGTCCTTTTTGACTCAGCAGATGTTAAACCAAATAGACGACCATATGGGGACATTTTATTGTTTCCTTATAATCAGGTAAGCTCAACAAAATGATATGCTAATTGAATCTGGAACATACCTTGGTAATAAAATTTCATGAAATTTTAAGACAAACAAAAATGCTTGCCATATGAATAGTATGTCATATTGTAACAGGCACTGTAGTGTAAATTCTGGGTGCTTGTGGTTTCTTCTGAGGATTTTCAAAATAATAAATGTATACTATATATATATATGTATATAGCACCACATATCATGTATTATATTTCTCTTTTAATTCAGAAAAAATTATTTGCACACAAGTTTAAATACCAAAATAATTAAAAAGGTATAAGCTTCTTCATTTTTCTTCATTAATTAAGAAGAAAGAAAAATGGCTAGCCATCGTAGGGTGATCTTGGGTATCCAGTCAGAGAGAAGTGAAACCAAATTAGGAGCACAGGAGATGGCAGTTTTAATGAGGGCATTTGACACTGTTAATCATAGATTCACCCTTTCTCTTATTTTAAAATTCTCAAATTGTGGCATCTATCCTAAAATTCAAAGTTCTTAACATATTTGGCATGCTTAAGGACTTGGGGATCATTAAAATTGGTATTTAATTACTATTTTACAGTGACACTGATCTCTATCTCTTAATGTTCAATGATATTTACATCCCATTTAATTTGCCTGGATGTTTACCTCTCTTCTTTCCTATGTGCATTGGACTTTTGAATTTGCTGAGTAGCTTAGAGTTAGTACATAACTCATCTCCACAGAGAGTGAATTGTTTGCAGTTTTAAAGGACACTATACCTAAAAATAATAGATAATTATTATTAATTATAAGGTCACCTCAACATCACTTTGTCTATAAAATCTTTTCCAATTCTTCCGCAGCTAACTGGCTGAAATTAATCATTTCTTTCTCTGTGTTCTGGTACATTTTATGTAGAAAATGCCCAATAAATATTTATTGACTTTGAATTTATTTGAATTGTTACAAAACAATGTAATGGTAACATATTGTTACCAATGATTTTCATATTTTTATGTAGTTATGTTTAGCATACAAAGGATTCCTGGCAAATTATATTGGTCTAAAATTCCAGTACCAAGACAATAGCAAGATTACTAGAAACACCGATATACAATTTACATACGACTTTGCTCATGGAAACAAGTAAGTAACGCTGTGAATTTGAAAATTAAGTTATACCATGGTATATACACTACAAAGATAAGACAAATCCATTTCTTGGGGTTTTACGTTTTTGTTTTGGTCTGTTTGGGGAGATGATGGCAAATCACACGCACAATGGATGTAACTGCAGTTTTCCTATTCTACACATGAACATCCAACAGAAATAGTCGTGTTTTAAAGAAATCTATAGATTATGAAAATAACAACTGGTCATGTCATAATCACCCATAACCATAAAAAGACAAAACAATGGTAAACTTTAGAATTTAAATTATATATTACTAAATCTAACAATGTCCCTAGTTGTTGCTGGAAGGTAGAGACAGACTTACGACAATATAGTCGTTATAGTTTGATCACTGAAAAAAAAGGGAATAGAGATATTTTGAAATAATGCTTGCTATACCAAAAATTAGACACATAGAAATGCAAATAGAGAAACATAAAGGAAGAAACAAAATGAACCTAGAGAAAGCTATTTAATGACTACAGCTGTCATGCCCTTAAACACAATTTAGTTCTATATAATTATTTTTGGGGTTTTATTAATTTTTATGTCTTCTGAAATTTATGTCAGTTGTGACTGCATTTTCATACATGGTACATGCAAAAATTTCATTTACAATAGAAGTAATAATGAAGACATACACAGAGACACACAGCTTTCTATTTTATAAAGTACTCCCCATAAATTGTTGTTGTTTATTAAAGTATAATGTACATAAAGTAAAATTCACTCTTTTTAAGTGCACAATTTAGTGAGTTTTAACACGTGTATATGGCCATGTAATCTTTACTCCACTGAAGACATAGAACATTTCCTCTCTACAATTTTTGAAGTTTATTTTCATATAAAATTTATCTCATAAAAATAACCATAATAGGATCTCCATATCTTGAAAAGATTTCTTTTTTTATTTGCTTTTTTTCTGTTATAGCTACATCACAATCTTTATTTTATATGGGTCTATATAGAGTTTATATGATACTTTAATACATGTCATGTAAGTTTCCATCATTTAATAAGATATGGAGAACATTATTCTATTATAATAAGATATGAAGAGCACTATTTTTCTTCCCATCATAGAATAGAACTCTGTAACTCAGAACTGCCATGTGTGGAACAAGTGTGAGGGAGAACCAGCATCTCCTCATGACACCCAGACAGAGGGAGTGAGAAAATCATCCAAAGTTGGAAATAGAACCAAATGTTTACCATAAATAAGACAAAGACAATAAATAAAAACAGGCAAGATGTTAATGGAGAGTCGAGTAGTTAGATAGGAAGAAACAGCAGTCTTGATGGGGGAATGTTTCTTGATGCAAAAGCTGCTCCTCAAATCTGCAATTTCAATTGTCTTGTTTTCTACATAATCCTAACACTATTTTTTTTTTTTTTTTTGAGGCAGGGTCTGGTTCTGTCACCCTGGCTGGAGTACTGTGGGACCATCATAACTCATTGCAGCCTTCATCTTCTGGGATCAAGTGATCCTCCCACACCAGCCTCCCTCTCAAGTAGCTGGGACTATAGGTGTGCACCACCACACCCAGCTAATTTTTTGTTTTTGTAGAGAGTGGATCTTGCCATGTTGCCACAGCTGGTCTTGAACTCCTAGGCTCAAGCAATCTTCCTGCCTAGGCCTCCCAAAGTGCTGGGATTACAGGCATGAGACACCATGCCTGGCCCCCAACACTGTTTTCAAAATGCATCAGCCAGTTCCCAATTCATAACTTTAGAAATTCATGTACTCTAAAAATTGCTGACATATGTTGGACTGGAAGGGAAACCTTGTTTGTTAAAGGTTTTAAAAACTATATCTTAGAGGATAAGATGTGTAAAGTGGGAGACAGCCAGGGCGAAGACCTGGAGGTGCTCCAGCAAAGCTAGGTCCCCAGACTCTATCAGGAGGAAATCAGTTGTGTTCACTGGGACAGTGGCAGAAAGGTGACAAAGATGGGACCAGGCAGGTGGGTGGGAGCATATCAGTGTTATCCTTCCTGTGGAACTGGAATGACCTTATGTTAAAAAAAAAAAAAGGAGGGGGCTGGGCAATATGGCAAAACCCCATCTCTACAAAAAATACAAAAATTAGCTGTACGTGATGGTGCACTCCTGTGGTCCCAGGTACTCAGGAGGCTACAGTGGAGGATTGCTTGAGTCTGGGAGATCCAGGCTGCAGTGAGCCAAGATTGTGCCACTGTCCTCCAGCCTGGGTGACAGAATGAGACCTTGTCTTGAAAAAAAAAAAAAAAAAAAAAAAAAATGTGTGTGTGTGTGTGTGTGTGTGTGTGTGTGTGTGTAGGAAGTCATAGTCTTTCGTTTTTAATATAAAACATCAGCATCATATTTGAAGTATGTATCTCTGGCATCAGATCCTGAGCATATGAACCTAATTCCCTTCAGATACTCTGGTCAATTAATGGATAAAGTGATGGCCTCTGTAGACCAAGCTTAACTACAGGTGTCAGTATCTCTTTAGTCATGAGGTAGGAATCTATTGTCCAACAGGTGTTGTCAGAGGGAAAAACTTTAATAAGGGCATTAAGCTTTTCAAAGAATTCTTCAGGAAACACAAAAGCCCTGCTTCATATATTCCTTAGGTTCTTGAAATAAGCATTAATAAGATAATGATTGATGTCTTGTCCCGAGTATAATATCTACACATGTTTCCATAGAATGTAAAGAAAGAAAAATTCTTGTTTACACAAAGTTCATTAGATACTGAAGTTTGGTAGAACTTGAAGTGGACTTCAAAGAAGAGAGAGAGAATAATGCCTGAAATCTATACATGCTATGCATGATGTTTGCACAGAACCATATGATTTTAATAATAAACAATATTAATTTTAACAATATTAATTCTTCCAATCCATGAACACTGGATATATTTTCACTGATCTGTGTTGAGAGAGATACATTAGTATTGAAAACAAATATATGCCTTTGAGGCCATTACATAGTTCAATCCAATGTATAAAATGGGACTGAAGCTAGCTCCTGGAATGAATGAAATGAGTTGGGAGAATTCTGCCGTTCCACAGAGGAATTATTGACTCAGAAGAGGACATCCTTTGTTGGCACTAACATAGGCAGATGCAATGCCAGGAGTTGAGCCAGCCCTGCCTCTGTTAGGTGGCAAGGAGCATGAAAAGTCCATAAACAGAATGATTATATACCAGTGTTTCATGCCCAATTTGCTATAGTCCATCTTTATGAAGCAGAAATCCTTCTCAAAGGGACATCTGAAGGTACATTTTGCTACAATAGGAAGGAGTGTTTGAATTGAACAGTGAAATCGCAATTTTACTTTTGATGCCCATTGCCCTTATGCTATGCACTCCTCCACTGCCTCAGGATTTTGGAACATTTTATGAATCCTTGTTCTTCTGTATCAATCAAGTCATCACTTACCATATCATTAAATAGGTCTCTCCTTTTAGCTTATAATTTGGGATGGCTGAGGGGAGGTGGGGATGGTTAATGGGTACAAAAAAATAGCTAGAAAGAATGAATAAGACCTAGTATTTGATAGCACAACAGGGTGACTAAAGTCAATAATAATATAATAGTACATTTAAAAACAACTAGAAGTATAATTTGATTGTTTATGACACAAAGGATAAAGGTTCGAGGGGATAGATACCCCATTTTACATGATGTGATTATTATGCATTGTATGGCTGTATCAGAACATCTCATGTACCCCACAAATATATACACCTACTATGTATCCACAAAAAATAAGATTTTTTTTAAATTAAAAAACTGATCTGCCAGGCAGTAATTTCAAGATGCATTACATTTGATGGAGTTCATGGATTTTCTTTACCCTAAATGTTACAAGACCTTTAAACAAGAATATCATGATAGTTAAAAATAACTGGATTCCCTTGATCAAACTATTACCAGTTGAGACAAAATAAATTTATCTGCTTCTAACAGGTATTTCTTTCTTTCTTTCTTTCTTTCTTTCTTTCTTTCTTTCTTTTTTTTGTTTTTGTTTTTGAAATAGAGTCTTCCTCTGTTGCCAAGGTTGGAGTGCAGTGGTGTGATCTTGGCTCACTGCAACCTCCACCTTCCAGGTTCAAGCAATTCTCCTGCCTCAACCTCCTGAGTAGCTGGGATTACAGGTGTGTGCCACCACACCCAGCTAATTTTTTGTATTTTTAGTTAGAGACAGGGTTTCACCATGTTGGTCTCGAACTCCTGACCTCATGATCCACCCAGCTTGGCCTCCCAAAGGGCTAGGATTACAGGCGTGAGCCACCACCCCCAGCCTCTAACAAATATTTCTAGATCTGCTTTAATATAGGTCAGACAGTCCACCTGGATCAAGTAGATGTATTAGTATTTGTTGTTTTCAGTACACTGTTGGTGTTAAAAGTGCCATTTCCCACCTCCCAAAATTGTTCTACAACCTTCCAAAAAGTGGTTTGTTGTACATCAAGTTTTAAAATCTAAAAATAGTCTGCCTTTCTCTTCAAAAAAATGGAATTATCTAATCACAAAGGCACAGTGTGCAGTTCAGTTTTGATATCATTTGCAGTCTCCTTTTCCCTTATAAAAGGTCCTGTTCAGTATGCCAAATTTTCTAAGTTGTGGTTTTAAAAATTTTAGAATTGTATAGTTAGTTGTACAATTCTACTTTGAGGCCCTAAATACTTTTTTAATTTAAAGAGCACTTTAACTTAATGTCATCTGCATACAACTTTCTAAAACTGATATGTGTAGTCTAATCTTTGATGAGCTAGAGGTGGATCCCATGATGAGTTTATGAACCCTGAAGAAAATGGGACTATAAGGTGCCCAAACAAACTAGTCAGTAACAACTACAGTGGTAGCTGATGAAAGATTATTGTTAAACTATATTCAATTATTTGAATGGAAATATTTATATCCGTGTTACAGACTCTTATAGCTTTAATGCTTAACTGTAATTTATGAGATTCCAATGCAGTTACGATTTAATGAAAAATCTGAATCTGAGTTTTACATTTAAAAGATACTGTGCAACCATTTATATCTACAAATAACACCCGTCTAGCACTTAGAACAATGGACAGTGCTACTCCAGGGAACTTTCCTGGAAGTGTTATCAAGTTCCAGTTTTGCTTCTTAGCAGTGGACTGAACTTACTGTTCTATGCCTGGTATTGTTCACTAAAATTGTTGACTCCATTCTTGTGTCTTGTTTTGTCAATGTGCTCTACACCAATGCCTGTGCTTCTTAGTTTCCTTACTTGTTGTTACACAATGTTATTTTACATTCCTATGGCTACTGACAAGGCTACAAATAAAAGAAAGCCTATATTTGTATACAATGCTCAATCTTTTACTGCCACTGTAAGTTTCTGCCTGCTGTGCCTTGTTATGGCTGCTTGTCTGCGCTAATAAAGCTCCCTTGATGGTCTTCTTGTGGGAAAAAAAATATTTTACTCTATAAAATTTTAATGCTTTTTAAAGTATATTTGCTTAAACATTACCACTGATCTATACAACAAATTAATCAACCATATTTCAGCTGGACTTACACTTGCATAGACATTCTGGATCTCATAAGAACAAAGTACACTGGGACAAATGTTTCTCTTCAAAGGATTAGTTTACAGAAAGCATCAGAATCACAATCCTTCTATGTGGATGTAGTGTACATTGGACAAACAGCTACAATCTCAACATTGGATGGTATGTTGTATCATTTTATCTCTACCGTAATCTAAATATAGTAAAATCTTACCAAGGAAATTAATTTTATATTCTGTAGTATGGATAGAAACATTAATCTCTAAATATTAATGAGTCATTCTTTTATCTCAATAATATTATGATTTTATTTTGTAATGAATAGTGCAAGGTAGTTATTCCAAGGATAAACGAATCCTTAATGAAAACTTTCTCACAATAGCAAGAATTTGCTTTCTAGTCCAGGATTTTGTTTATGGATAAATATACTATGTCAAACATTTTCATTTTGCTTTGTTTTATTTTTGAGAAACCAACTACCACGAGAGAGATCTATTCCCAAAATGCAACTATTGAGATTGACATCTGTCTACTAAGATTGACTTGAAACTTTCCACAGACTTAAGAGTGATAATTAATAATACTACAAATGAAACCTTCATTTCAATGGTGTTAGCATTGTGTTTCTAGTCATGTTAATAGACATGACATTTATTAGATGCAATAATAATAAAAATTAAACTCTACCATCTTTTAAAAAATTAACCTAACTCCAGTCACCTTAAAAGTGACTTTCCCATTTTTGAGAGGAACATTAGAATCCTTTTCTTTGGAATTGCTTTCAAGTGCAAGGTGGTGAGTTAACTGATTTTTTTTTAAAATGTAAATGCTACTACTTTATTGTCACTCCTTTTGAATCTGCTGTCACCAGACCTACATTATGACTGGTAGAAAATGTATAAGACAGATGGATTGTGCTGGGATAAATGTTGTCGTTCATTAAACAATATTCACTTAGCACCTACTATGTGTCAGGTATTGTATCAAGTACTAAAAAACAGCAATGAAGAAGACAGTCCTTGTCCTGCTCTCATGAAGCACACATCCTAGTGAGCACCACCTAGAACAGAACAAAGCTAGCTACCCAAAGAAGGCTGGAGGAAACCCAGGGATTGGTTGCTTTTAAATGTTTGGTTTTTATTTGATAGGGTTCATATGTCAAAAGACATGAACTTTACAATATAAAACTGAAAGTTCAGAAAGCTTCACAAACTACTTGCCTTCAGGTCTTCTTTCTAATATTTGATTTTAAATACTTTATGTCATGACAATGTTGTTATTATTTGATGACTTTATTTTTAGCAACAGAAGCAATACAATTTTATCTCCTCTCTATTAGGTTGACTTTTAAATGGCAAAAACCACAATTACATTTACACCAACCTAATATTTTTATTTATATTCTTTAGAAATGCCCAAGAGAAGACTTCCTGCATTAGAAAATAAAGAAATATTCTTAGAGCACTTTCAGGTGAATCGGACCAAAACAAATGGGCCAACTATGACAATCCAATATTCTGTCACCATGACTTCATACAACTGCAGTTACAATATACCCATGATGGCTGTGAGCTTTGGGCAGGTAAGCCTAGAATTTTGCATTACTTTTTATGTAGTGAATTTTATTTTTAATTTTTTTAAATAGCCAACATACAGATGGAATATCTTTTAATAGGAAAAGACAACTAACTATTTTAAGGTTATATGAAGATTTGGAACATGAAGATTGACTTTAAGTATTAAAAAAATTCTTTAAGAAATATGTCAATGGAAAGGAAAACAGGAAAAAATATCCTTAAAAAACAAAGTCAGATTTAAGTAGAATTTTCTCTGTGGACTTAAAAGAAGAAGTTATGGTCTCTTCCAATAAAGTTCCTTAGACAGATATTATTGAAAGGAAAGTTGAGATTCTGCATTATGCTTTTAAATTGTTTTCTGTTATAAACACCGTTTATTTTTGCTTGTATGAAAATTTATACAAGGGAAGAAAGAAGTGGTTTTTCATAATTCCAGAAGGACCTGAACAATTTTTTACATTTATAATAAATAATATTAAATATTACAATATGAAAAATTTAAAACTTTAATTTCTATAAAAATATTCAATGAGTTAATATAGTTTCCTACCACAAACCAAAAACAAGTATAAGCTCAAGATTAAAGATTAAATAATCATTAACCATTGTAATTGGATTACAGCCTCGCAGAAAACTTCTTGCAAAGTAAACAATCTTCCATGGGATTGGTATCACTGAAAAATTTATAAAACTCCAAAACAGTCTGCTTTGTCTCCATCCTGGACCAAATGACTTTACTCTTATATCTTCAGATTAGTATCTAAGCTTTCCCAGTGCTTTACTCTTAGCTCTATTAGAAAATATAATAACTAATTTAGGCCTTTGTAGTCTCAAAGCATCTGGGTCAAAAATCTCACTTATTTCAAGATTTCTCAGTAAACTAATTGGTAATTATACACCTCTTTCTTTAAGTATTTATCAAAGGTTAACTTGAAAGATAAGGGACTTAGATTTTTCGTGGCTTTTTAAGTCAGGGAACAACAGGTGCTGGAGAGGGATTGGAGAATATAGGAACACTTTTACACTGTTGGTGGGATTGTAACTAGTTCAACCATTATGGAAAACAGTATCGAGCGATTCCTCAAGGATCTAGAACTAGATGTACCATATGACCAGCCATCCCATTACTGGTATATACACAAGATTATAAATTATGCTGCTATAAAGACACATGCACGTATGTTTATTGCAGCACTATTCACAATAGCAAAGACTTGGAATCAACCCAAATCGTCCATCAGTGACAGATTGGATGAAGAATGTGGCACATATACACCATCGGAATACTATGCAGCCATAAAAGGATGAGTTTGTTGTCTTGTAGGGAACATGGAGTGCCAGCTGGAAACCATCATTCTTACGACAACTATCACAAGAACAGAAACCAAACACGCATGTTCTCACTCATAGGTGGGAACTGAACCAATGAGATCACTTGGACTCAGGAAGGGGAACTCACACACTGGGGCCTATCATGGGGAGGGGAGGGGGGAGACTGCCTGGAGTTATACCTGAATCGTAAATGACAAGTTGAATGGGTGCAGGCAGCACACATGGCACAAGTATACATATGTAACAACCTGCACGTTATGCACATGTACCTACAACTTAAAGTATAATAATAATAAAATAAATTAAAAAAAATAATTAAACAATTAAAAAAAAAAGAAAATTCAAGTGACAGGTACATATAATAATATGTACATATGTTAAATGTATAGATCAATAAATTGTTTTAAGAACTTTAACTTTGACATACTTGTAGATTCACATGCACTTGTAAGAAATAACACAGAACTATTTTTAATATCCTTTACCAATTTTCCCCCAATGATAACTTTTTGTATAATATAGCACAATATCATAACCAGGAAATTGACCTGATAAAATCCACTGACCTTATTCAGATTTTTCCAGGATTGTGTGTGTGTGTGTGTGTGTTTGTGTAGTTCTTATACAATTTTATCACAGGTGTAGATTCATCTGACCACCACCAGAACAATTCTATTATGAGCATCTCTTGTGCTACCTTTTTGTATCCATGCTGTCGCAGCCACCTCCCTCATTCCCTTCCTCCTGCACTCACTTATATATGGCAACTACAAATTCATTCTCTCAATAATTTTGTCATTTCAAGAATGCTACAAAAATGAAATCAGATGTCATGTAATCATACAAATATATAGCTTTTGGGTACTGGCTTTTTTTTTACTCAGCATAATTCCCTTGAGATCATTCAAATTGTGTTTATTAATTTATTCATTTTGATTGCTGAGTGTATTTACTGTTATGGATGTACCAGTTTGTTTACTCACCCGTTGAAGGCCATTTGAGTTGTTTCTTGGTTTTGGCTATTATGAATTAAACTGCTATGAACATTCATCTATAGGCTTTTGTGAGACATAAGTTTCCATTTTTTCCTGGGTTAAATTCCCAACAGTGCAATTATAGGGTTGTATGATAAGAATGTGCATAGTTTCTAAAGAAACTACCATACTTTTTTATGAAGTGGTTGTACCATTTTAGATTCCCACCAGCAGTGTATGATCCAGTTTCTGCACAATCTTGCCAGTGTTTGGTGATGTCACTATTTTTAATTTTAGGCATTCTGGTAGGGTGTGTAGTGATGGCTCATTTTCATTTTAATTAATATTCCCTAATGACTAATGATGTTGAACATCTTTTTATGAACTTATTTGCCACCTACATATCTTCTACTGTGAAATGTCTAGGTGTAATTCTTTTGTCAGATATGTGGTTTGCAAATATTTTCTCCCAGACTGTACCTCGCCTTTTCATCTTCTTCATAAGGTCTTTGACAGAACAAAGTTTGAAAAGTTTTATGAGGCCAAATTTCTCATTTGTTTTTTCTTTTTTGAATGGTACTTTTGGTTTCAAGTCTAAGAACTTACTTAGCTCTAGGTCCTGAGGATTTTTCTATTTTTGTCTAAAAATTCTACAGGTTTACATTTTATATTTAAGGACATGATCCATTTTATGTTAATTTTTATTTATAAGATGTGATTTTTGGTTGAAGTTCATTTGTTTGCCTATGCCTTCAATTGTTTCAGCAACGTTTATTGAAAAGGCGATCTTTCTTCCATTTAATTACATTGGAACCTTTGTCAAAAATCATATTTGTGTGGGTGTATTTCCGAGTTTTCTATTCTTTCCATTGGTCTATGTGTCAGTCCTTCCACCAACACCATACATTCTTGACTATTGTATCTGAATAGTTAGGTTTAACATTGAGTAGTGTGATTCTTCTCACTTTATTTTTCTTGTGCAAAATTGTTTTAGCTATTCTAGGTCCTGTGCCTTCCCATATAAATTTTAAAATAAGATTATTTATGTCTACAAAAAAACCTTGCTGGTATTTTGACAATAATTACATTAAACCTATAGACTGTTTTGGAAAGAATTGACACCATTGTGATATCGAGTTTTCCAATCCATGAACACAGTATGTCTCTCCATTTATTTGTCTTCTTTGTGCTTCACTAGCATATTTAGGTCTTCATTTATTGCATTTATCAGCATTTTGCAATTTTCAGTTCAGGTCTAGTACATATTTTGTGAGATTTATATACGTGTTTCATTTTCTTCAAGCAGTTGTAAATGGTCTTGGGTTTTTAAATTCGATTTCCATATGCTCATTATTTGTGTATAGAAATGTAATTGATTTTTGTGTGTTTATCTTGCATCTTATAACCTTGCTGAATTCAACACATTTTTACAAAGTAGATACACTCATGTAATCACACCCAAATCAAGATAATCATTAGCTCCCCAAGTACATTCCTTGAACCTCTCTTCTTTCTTAAACTCACTCCTCATCCCAATAACCAGTCTTTTGACATCTACTACCATTAATTATTTTCGATTGTTCTTAAACTTTATATCAATGGAATCATACAGTGTGTACTGCTTTGAATCCAGCTTCTTTCATTTAATTTTGTGAGATTCACATTGCATATACTGTAGTTTCATTCTCTTTGGTTGCTGTACATTTTTCCATAGTATAAGTATACCATAATTTATCCATTCTATTGAACAACTTTTGCATTATTTCCAGCTTGGGGCTATTATGAATATAGCTGCTAGGAACATTCTTGCTTATATCTTTTAGCACTAATGTTTATTCATTCTTTGGGCTAGAAGGCTTATCATTTTAAATTTTACAGTAGTAACAGATAACTATAAGGGATCAAAAACAGGGGAATATAATTTTCACTATTAGGGTTACAATCTGTGAATTTCTATAGCATGTGCTGCTTTTGTCAATTGGTGAGCACTGAACATTACGCAAGTATTTTTGTTAGCCTGGGTCAGCCACTGTATAGATCATAAACTTTCTTAAATTGTTGGTTAACTTTTCAAGACTCCATGTAGTATTTTTTGAAAAATTGTTTTAGTTTTTTAATAGCCAACACCACATCTCATGCTCCTTTACCTCTCTGCCGTGATTAGCACTGTACCTTGAACAGAGTGCCTGCTCAATAAATATTTGTTCCTTGAGTGATGGAGGGTGCATTCTGAATTAATGAGGTATTACTGCAGTTCCAGCTGATTGCTGCACAGATGACTGAGTTGACTTTGGCCTCATTATTGCAGCTGTATAGGTATGGCCTGTGTTGATTTATGTGACACTCCTTAATGTTCTGAAGAATCCTGAATACATGAGGCTCATTTATGTCATGTCACAGGATTGTACCATGATTAAATAGAAATCATGTAAGCCATTGTTAAGTTTAATCATTTTATCAATATTTATTTTGGAAATTAGATAATCACACATGAGACAGAGAACGAGTTTGTCTACAGAGGAAATAATTGGCCAGGCGAGTCAAAAATTCATATTCAAAGAATTCAAGCTGCATCTCCACCTCTAAGTGGCAGCTTTGACATTCAAGCTTATGGACATATTCTCAAAGGTATATGAAAAAAGTTTAAAATATTGGTGTATACACACACATATATGTATAATGTTATAAAGTGTTAAATGTTGTTTCACTTGAGAATTACTACTTATTGATACATGCAAATACATTATTTATTTATTTGAGACATAAGTAAATATGTGATATATTAAAGTCACACACGCATATATATTAATATATGCCATATAAGGGTCAGTTAATAGCCAATCACAATGTTGTTTCAAATCCTTCTTTTTAATAGATTAGGAAATATTCACCCATCCAAAACTAACATCATTTCGTTTGATTGTTTTCATTTACAAATAATATTTTTAAAAGTCTGCAAAAATTTATAACAATTTTTACAGCTGTTTTTTAAAGGCAGTTGAAATTATCACTTTCATAAGTCAAAACTTTCTCTAATACATGCATTTAAAAAAATAAGCATTCATTACTTACTGTGATAGCCACAAACAATAACAATAATATTAAAATATAAAAATTGAGAATTGGAATATGATTTTAAAAGACATCTATAATTTAATTATCTAAGTCTGTACTAATCAGTATGATAGCCATGAGTCATATGTGGCTACTGAGCACTTAAAATGTGACTAGTGTCACATGTCAAAATATAACATTTGAATATAAGAGATTATATGCAATTTATTACTATTAAAATATTTTACCTGGTTTTGTTTTCTTTCTAAAATATAGCTACCAGAAAATATACAATTATATATGTGGTTCACATTATTTATCAGCTGGACAGGGCTAACCTAGACAACTATAATAAACATTTTGGCATACTCCTTTTTAGTAGTATTTCTCTTATAATTTACATAATTGAGAGTATGTCAGTAACATGAAGCTAAACTATTCAGGGCAAATGACATTTTTATGTTTTCGTCACTGCTTTATCCATTATACCAGTGACATTCTCAAATGTTTGTTTCTCTTTTATATTCATGACTTACAGGTTATCCGTATTTTCAAAGACATACAAATTAATATTGTTATTAATTTAACCAAAATCGATTTTTATATTAAAAGATCATTTTAACACTCAACATCCTCTGACATTAAAATGATTTTATTTTTAATATCAAAATGAATTGATATGAAAACATCAACTGATATTTGATATTTGTGAATTGATATTAAAAATATTCAATCCAAGGCCAGAGTTTGAGGTACATTACTCATGTAATTTTTAAAAATAATTGTCTATTATTATTTTGAAATGTATAAAATTGTATATATTTTATTTCCAGGAAATATATAAATTCTTGGCATAAGTAGAATGCAAATTTTATTTTTACTACATTGGAAGGGGACATAGAGTCTACAAGTGATAATACATAGTACACATTTCATGTACTTTAAAGATGAAATTGGTTTGTGAATTTATTTTATTTTATTACTATTATTTTTTTGAGATGGAGTCTCACTGTTACCAAGGCTGGAGTGCAGTGGCATGATCCTGGACACTACAACCTCCGCTTCCTGGGTTCAAGGGATTCTCCTGCCTCAGCCTCCCGAGTAGCTGGGATTATAGGCACGCACCACCATGCCCAGTTAATTTTTGTATTTTCAGTAAAGACGAGGTTTTACCATGTTGGCCAGGCTGGTCTCAAACTCCTGACCTCAGGTGACCCGCCCGCCTCGACCTCCCAAATTGCTGAGATTACAGGCGTGAGCCACCACATCTGGCCGGTTTGTGAATTGTGACTTCTGCTGTTTGCCACCCCTCTGTGAGTGCAGGCCTTCCCGCTGCTGTGTCAGCTGCAGATCTGCAGTTTGTGCTCCAGAGTCTGGAGGGATTGGGAAGAGTCTCAGTTACACGAGAGGGAACCTGTGCTGGCTACGCATGGAACATCAAGTGGAGAAGCACCTGTGGAAAGCAGAATCTTCTACAGGTTCCCTCATTTAGCCTGGCTTCTTTTTTCTTCTATGTGCTGTTTGCTTATTTGGACCCTGTTTTAGTCCAAAAAGAACTGGAGGCTATGTATATTATAAAAATGCAAACCGTAAACTAAAATTTCTTTAAAAGGAAATTAAGGAGAAGGTTTTTTCTAAATTAAGTTGACCCAGTGTTATCTTTCAGGGAGAATGGCTGTTGGTACTTTACTCCATATCCCATTTAGGAAAAAGTCCAGGAATGTGTGTGTTAGAATCCCCTTGACAGGGGCAGGTGGCGCACAGTCAGGGCCGGTCTCAGAACTAAACCAAACTGAATCCAGATGTATGCTAAGGGGGTCCCAGAGAGAATCAGCCACACTATCATTCTACCACGAGAGCTGTATTTTGGGGCCTTGGATACTTCTGTGGTTATAAAGATGATCTTTCCAAGTTCATAAAAGAGTAACGCCTTAGGCTGTCATCTAGTTACCTTTCTTTAGTTAGAGGGAGGAAGAGAATGGGGGAAAGGAGTCAGGCCCAGAGTATGTGAAGGAGAGGAGTCTAGGGACTCAGATTGTCAAACACTAAAAAGGTGATGCTTTCAGCCAAGCACAGTGGCTCATGCCTGTAATCCCAGCATTTTGGGAGGCTGAGGCAGGTGGATCACAGGAGTTTGAGATGAGCCTGACCAACATGGTAAAATCCTGTTTCTACTAAAAATACAAAATTAGCTGGATGTGGCAGTACACGCCTGTAATCTCAGCTGCTTGGGAGGCTGAGGCAGGAGAATCGCTTGAACCTGGGAAGTGGAGATTGCAGTGAGCTGAGATTGTGCCACTGCCATTGCACTCCAGCCTGGGCAACAAGAGCAAAACTCAGTTTCAAAAAAAAAAAAAAATGCTTTCTAGTGATGATGAGAATGCAAGGAAATAGTTTCTTCTATGCAATGTTGGTGAGAACGAAAATAAGGACAACCTTTTGTGAAGATAACTTAGTAGTATCTTAATACAGACCTTCTGATTCATCACTATCACTTATATAACTCTATCCTACTGAAATAATAAGGTAAATGTGAAATGATATAGGCGCAAAGGTAGTCACTGAAGCACTATTTGTAAAAGTAAAAACCTAGAAACCTAAATCCCCATCAATAGCAGAAGGATTGTTTAAATGATGTAACTTTCACATTGAACATTATGCAGCCATGTGTAGACCCACATATATTCACCTGGAAAGAAATTCATGACATAAAGTGGAAAAAATGCAGAACTCTACTTATGAAATCATTTGGGGAAGGAGAGGAAGTGGAGAAGATAAGGCAGTTGGGGCAAAAACAACTGTGTAAACATAGAAAACAAGCCTGTATGGTTGTGCAAAATAGTAATAGTTATAAGAATGTGAGGGTTATTTTAGAAAAATCCATGGCTGGGAACTGAGAGTGGAAAATTCCACAATGAAGATAGGTCTAGTGACTGACCGCCCTTTGTGTCTCTGCTGGTGTCTGTGCATCTACTCTCTTCCATCTTTTCTGATCAGTCTCTTCTGCTTATTCATTATTTCTGTTCCATATTATTTGGCTCACACATGGCCCAGCATGGAGACTCCTATCTCTTTGCTAGTCCCTGAATACATCAGAAGGTTGACAAATTTGCAGAGGAATTTTGTGAAGAACAAATTGTATATACTGATTTTACTTGGCTTTATTTTTACCATTGGAAGAACAAATAATTCCAAAACTGGGTGAAAAACCAGGGTAAAGGTAAAAAAATGATACAAGGAAAAGTTGACTCTCAGATAGAAAGATGACTCAGTTTTTCAATTATTTAAAAATAATTTATCAGTTATCATATTCAGAAGAAGCATAGGACATTTTGAGGAAATCAAGTTTAGTAGATTCATTTTCTTTAGATTTATTTTTAATTATAAAAATTCAAGTTAGGAGCTGTAAAACATGAACGGAAGACTGGTTTATTTGGTCGCTGAGGAAGAGATCAGTCTTACCATAGGACCCTCAGGGCTGGGCTTCAACATTGTAGGTGGGACAGATCAGCAGTATGTCTCCAACGACAGTGGCATCTACGTCAGCCGCATCAAAGAAAATGGGGCTGCGGCCCTGGATGGGCGGCTCCAGGAGCGTGATAAGATCCTTTCAGTAAATGGCCAAGACCTAAAGAACCTGCTGTACCAGAATGCTGTAGACCTCTTTCGTAATGCAGGTTATGCTGTGTCTCTGAGAGTGCAGCATAGGTTACAGGTGCAGAATGGACCTATAGGACATTGAGGTGAAGGGGACCCAAGTGGTATTCCCATATTTATGGTGCTGGTGCCAGTGTTTGCCCTCACCATGGTAGCAGCCTGGGTTTTCATGAGATACCGGCAACAACTTTGAAAAACTTGCTCTCTTTCAGTACTCCCAATGAAGATACATTTCACTCACCCTCCATCCCTGCTATTCTGCCGTGTCTTTCACTCTCTGCATAGCCAGATTTGAAGTGACTGATACCCACCCCAAACCTTGCTGTTCAGAATCTCCAATTCTTCGTATTCTAATGGGAAAGTAAAGGTATTGTTTGAAGGAAAACTGAAGAAAAGACTTGCTTAGAACAAATGAGTTATATATTTTACTAGGACTTTTGATAGAAATTCAGCTACAACCCAAAGAGAGAAAGATTGAGTCTTCATGTCACCATAGGCAATATCATTTTTCTTAGCTGGCATGCCATAAAGACCAGCTGTGTGACATTAGAGGAAGAAAGGATTTTTCTTTTTAATGATCTTCCTTGGGAAATTATTGTGGCCTTTATTTAATTTCTAATTACATACCTGGGTGCCTATATGAGACAAAGGAGAGTGAGAAGAGCATTTTTACCTTTTTAAAAAAGCAAATACATATATACACATACATATGTAAATATTATAGTATAATAGTGATACCTATGGAGAATTAAAGGTGAGAAAGCTAAAAAAAAAAATTCAAGTTAATTTTAGTTTTAATTCAAGTTGTAATTGATGCAATGTATGATAATGCAATGGTCTTAATTTTTTTTTCTTGTATAGGTTATGTTCATTTTTGAAGAGTCTTCTTTAAAAAAAAGTGACTACAATGGTTTTGAATTTTATTTTACATCCTTTGACTTTTATTCACCTTTGCCTATGCTGAAATTAAAAATGAAAAACTAGTGTGGTCATATTTGTTACAACCTTTCTAATAAAATAATTGTGTGTAAAAATAGATTAATGATTCCAACATTATTGGAGAAAAGGCTAATATGACAGTCACAAGGATAAAGGAAGGTGGCTTATTCAGACGACACATACTTGGAGACCTACTTCGTACACCCAGTCAACAGCCACAGGTATTTTTGAAGCTTTTCTCATGATGCGTGATGTAATTTTAACAGTATAACTAGTTTATAATATATTAAAGACCTGATAAAACAGGGGGATCGACTTCTGTATTTCATGAGAACATTTGTGTTTACATTGATCAACTTGATAATATTATTTTATGACTTTTGGAAAAATTATCTTCCTTATGACAAAATAGTAGATTTTTTAGCTCTACTATGCCAGAATTTGAATATAGAGTCTTTCATTCAATCTTTACAGCAGTGCTGTAAAGATGAAGAAATTAAAGTGTAAAGAGATTAGGTGACTTTCCCAAGGGCAAGACTGAATGAAATATCAAAGTAGAAAAAATATAGACTAATTTCAGTAAACAAACAAGCAAATCAACAAAATTCCATCACTTTTGTTAAAAACCTATTCATATTCTACTGCTGCCTCTTTGCCTCTGACTTCTTGTTTCTTTATTTGAAGGTTGAAGTCTATGTCAATGGAATTCCAGCTAAATGTTCAGGTGACTGTGGGTTTACATGGGATTCCGACATTACTCCCCTAGTCTTGGCGACAAGCCCTTCTCAAGGTAAGTTCCTGATTTTTAACCTATACTAGGGTGTGAAAGATAACCAGCAAAATGTAAACTCTGATAATGACTTCTAAAACTATGTTTATACTAGTGTCACTGTTATACTGTTAGCTAAAGCAAGCAAACAGTTCTACATTGTGAAAATTAAAAATCCTATTAGACAAAAAAGCTATGGAAAGGGTACTAATTATTTATTTTTGAAAAAAAACTATTTCTTTTGAAGCTGAAATCTTGCCTTTGAAGTAGAGGATTTGCTAATCTTAAACTTCTCTAGTTTCACCAGTTAGACTCAGTCTTTAAAATTTCACTTGGACACTGAGGCACTTTTGTTCAACTGTACTAGCTAGGGTATTAAGTGGAGTCTTTCATTCTATGAGACCACTTCCTCTAGGAGAGTTAGTATTAAAAGGCTAGTAACAAGACATCTGCTGTTTCATGAAAGAATGTGATCGTGTCCTAGATTTGAGAATATGAGATATAAAAATTATTGCCAGGAACTCAATCTAAGGAACACATTATACCATTTCTTCATAATATGTTATTGCCTCAAAAATGTGATTATGCTTTGTGTCTGAGCAACTAAGGACTGAAATAAAACAGCAGGAATAAGGATAGTAAGGGATGGCTTTTTTTCAATCAGAACAATAAACTCAGACGCTATAGTTACATATTTAATCTGTATGGATAGTAGGAAAACTCACCAACTAATTTTATAGTGGTACCTCCCAAAAATTATTAAAATTTTAAAAATATTTCATTTTTATGTTGAAAGAATATATTTTTCAGACTTTTTAAAATAGTGATGATACTAACTTTGGGATAATTCAGATTACATGGGGTTAAAACTCTCAAGAATAAGGATTTAATGAACTTTAATTTGGTTATAGTCCTTTGGTATACTTATGTTTATATCCAGTCTTGCATTTTATAATGAATTCTCAACTTTTTCTTTTTTTTTTTTTTTTTTTTTTTTGAGGCTGAGTCTTGCTCTGTCACCAGGCTGGAGTGCAGTGGTGCGATCTTGCCTCGCTGCAACCTCCACCTTCCGGTTTCATGCGATTCTCCTGCTCAGCCTCCCTAGTAGCTGGGACTGCAGGTGCCCACTACCATGCCTGGATAATTTTTGTATTTTTAGTAGAGACAGAGTTTTACCACGTTGGCCAGGATGGTTGAATTCCCACTTTTACGTGCACTTCCTGAAAAATGATTTCTTACCCAGTATAGGAATCTGAATTGCCTTTTGCCACATTTGGATCATTTTTAAAATTGGGAAAATATAAGCATAAAGAAAACTACAAAAATACACATACTCTTCACTGAAAATTAACAGCTGTTAAAATTTTGTCATATTTACTTCCGATCAACAATTTAAGAAAGAAATATTATAGGAACAGCTAAATTTCTCTTTAAGCACCATCCCTAGACCTAGTCCCCTACATAATTCTTGAGGGGCAATCACAGTGATTAATTACTGTGTATGTATTCTTCCATGACACTTTAAATACCTTTTGTACATAGCACACACACACATATATGGTCATTTTACCAGTTTCATAAGCTTACAAATGAAATATTACAATGTAAATATTATTTTGCATATTTCTTTTGTCATTCAGAATTCATTTTGAGATATATTTATGTGGTTTTATGTACACCTAACCCATCACGTTAAAGTATTTCATGAGTGCACCAACTTACCTAGTTCCTCTATTGATGGACATTTAGATCGTTTACAAGTTTTCACTTTTACCAATAAGACTATACTGAACTTTCTTGTACAAACCTCCTATTGCATATGTGTTAAAGCTACTTTAGGATATATACCGAGACATAGTATTATTGGATAACAACTGGTTGGATGAGTATTCAGTTTACTAGATGACCAAATTGCTCTTCCAAGTGGCTATACTACCAGCAAATATAATAGCAACATTATCCCCTATATCCTTGCCAATATTGGAAGTGATCGACTTCCTAATTTTAACTATTCCAATGGGTAAAAGTTATCACTTTTAAAACGTTTATTCTATTCCTTTATTAGTAATGCACATGAGCATCTTCTCATATGTTTCTTGGACATTCAGATTATTTTTTCTGCAAAGTGTTTAGCATAGTTTTTCCCTTTTTTATTGAATTCTCTTTTAAAATTTACTTGTAACCATTTACTATATTTTATGTTTACCAGTCCTTTGCACATGGCTTCTCTCAGTATATTGCCTGTGCTTTGGTTTAGTTCTTGTTTATGAAAACATTTAAGTCACTTATTTATTCTAGTTTATTTATTTATTCCATTATGGTCAATCCCATGACTTCATGTATCATATTTAAGAAATCCATCTCTACCTCAAAGTCATCAAGATATTTGGTTATATTTACTTCTAAAAATTTGAGTTTTATTTTTTGTTCTTAGCTATTTAAATCTATGTAGAATCTATATTGTGCATGGTGTTATGTAAGTAGGGTGATCATGTATGTATTACATATATGATTTGTTAAAGATAGATATGTAATATCTATCTATCTATCTAATCTATCTATAATTTGTTGATCAAACTTGGACACTTTTAAGAGGGAATGGAAAAATCTTAAGTTTAAAACGCTGGAACACAGGTGTAAACCAGAACTGTCTCAGGCATTTTGGGATGTATATCACCCTAAACAGAGGACAGAGGAATCTTATTTTCTTTTCAAATGGGAAGTGTCCATACCACTAATTGTGTGATTTATCCTTTCCTCATAAATTTGCAATGGCAAGTCTGTCATATACTAAGTTACCATATAGAGATGTCTACTTAATTTCTTTATTATGAGAATAATTTGTTTCTTTTTCTTATGCCATGTTTTCAGTCAGATAATTCTTTCCACTAGTCTCTGTCAACACACAGATTCAAAATATGAACATACGTAGAATAAATCAATGGAAATAATGGAAATAAAATACCACGGATAAATACATGTGGATTTTTCTCCCTGCTTGCCTATTCGGCTTACTGTTTATAACTTTTGAAGATAGACTTATTTTTATCTGAGAAATGTCTGATTTCATAATAACAGATATTAATATTGTTATTTAAATTGATCATTTTTAGGGTCCTATGAAGAAGGCACAATTCTAACCATAGTGGGTTCTGGATTTTCTCCTAGTTCAGCTGTATCAGTCTCAGTTGGACCAGTAGGTTGTTCTCTTCTTTCTGTGGATGGTAGGTCCTTATAAAAACTGTTAAGTCTAATTGTTCTTATCTAAGATAAAGTGGAATCGAAGAGCAGTATTACAATTATTTGATCATGTACAATTATCATGATCCATTATTACAATTATCATGATCCCTATGGGGTTATGAAATTGGCAACCTGATCTATATACTGCCTTATCTTTTAAATCTTTGATTATGACCACAGACTATTTCACTGTTGTACAGTGTCTTTATCCTATAATAGTTTAATTTTATCCTTTTTTCCCCTTCATTTGGAGGTTACATGAAATCTTTTTTGCATTAGTGTGTCTCTGGGATGCAAAAATGTATGAAATGCTTCTCTAGTGTTCCATGGTCCTGTCTGCCCACGTTTTGACAATGCCATGCAGGAAGAGGACGTGGCCAAGCTGGTCTCGAACTCCTGACCTCACGTGATCCACCCGCTTCAGCTTTCTAAAGTGCTGGCATTACAGTCATGAGCCCCCACACCTGCCCTTCATTTAGTTTTTGATCATCTTTCCTGATAAAACCTGGTATTTTGCACAATTTTGGACATAATATATCTGACCAAAAATTTTAGAATTATTAATATAAATGAGCTTAATAAATTAGCTTTTAAAAAAATTATGACAGTAGCCTGTTTTGGGTACAGTAGCATCGGAAATAGATTGTTTACTTTGCTTTCATTCTTGGTTTACCTATTTTCTAGGAGTGTCTGATTCATAGCCTCAGGTAGTTTGCAAGGATTATTCCTCTTAAGATTCCCCCACCCATTAATACATGATTCGTTTTCTTTGGATACACTTCTTGAGATCTAAAAATGAAGGCCAATGTTAGTATTTGCAAGCATAACTTTTATCTCATAAAACCATTTGATTTACCATTTTCTTCATCTTTTTCTTTTTTCCACAAGAAAAAGAGATCAAGTGCCAGATTCTGAATGGAAGTGCTGGACATGCCCCAGTTGCTGTGTCCATAGCTGATGTTGGACTAGCACAGAATGTAGGGGGTGAACAGTTCTACTTTGTTTATCAGAGTCAGATCTCACATATCTGGCCTGATTCTGGAAGCATAGCAGGTAATGGTTAATGGTTTAAACAGAGAGAAAATTGCATGCATTTCCATCAGTTCAATGTGCTCTTTCTAGTACAGGGTGAAGGGAGAGGAGCCCAAAGCTTCCTCCTATAGAACAAAGGAGAGTCTCCTTTGAGAAGGCCCAGTGATTAAATGGCCGACTAATTCTTTTGTTTCTTACAAAGCACAAGTCGGGGTGCTGCTTATACTTACATCTTAGGTTATTGAATTAATATCATCAATTATTACATGTTTCTATAACAAGCACATCAATTATGTCAAGATAAGATTTATTAGTTATTATTCTGCTTACCAGCTGCTTCATTTGTAACCACAGTCTCAGTGGAGCTCCTTGACCCAGAAAAAGTTCTGGGAACAAACTGGGGAAAGGAGGGCTAACACAGAGGATGGAAAGAACATAACACATTTTTCCTGTCCTGCTTCATTTCCTTTGTACGTTTGTTTTTTTACCAGGCATAGTTTACGGTTTTGTGCTTTGGTTTTGATCCTTTTGGTATGCTTTTATTTTACATTATTTCATCGCTTATTTTTAAAGTTTAGTTTTCCTTTTACTTAGAAATATTAAAATTTGAGATTTGGCGAGAGTCTTAATTCGCTCTCCTCTTCCACCCACAGAATGGTTGAGTGAATAGAAGCAGCATACATTTTTGTAGGATGAAGGCACTGTGAAAAATAGCAGATGCTGCTGCCAATGCCCCAAAGCAAATGTGTGTTGCAAATCTATGTTATTTCATTAAATCACTTAGTCCAGCTCCTTTATGGTTCCGAGCATCAGCACCCAGGCTCAGGTGTGTGGTGGTGATTGTGCTCATCTCAAGTCTGGTCCTTGATCTATTGGCCAGTCCATCTCTTGGATAATTAGACAATTCTCTAATGAGTTAGCTCTTATTAACATTTCTTTTTGTTATAGTTGAACTGGTTTTGTTGTTGTTTTTGTTTGCTTTTCTTATGAAGGTGGTACGCTACTGACTTTATCTGGATTTGGCTTTAATGAAAATTCAAAGGTATTAGTTGGAAATGAAACCTGCAATGTGATTGAAGGGGATTTGAATAGGATAACCTGCAGGACACCAAAAGTAAGACCTCTGGTTTCAGTCATTTTTTCCTAAGTCTGAAATATTATAAATGAGGAGACATCTCAGTTTGGGGAGTGGAGTGGTGAAACCAGTGGTGTATTTACATAGAAACTGCAGGGTTTCTATTATGCTCCTTAAAACTTCTTTCTTCCACATCTTTCCACTAGGATTAAAAGACAAAATATTATCTCCACATTCAACATACTTAAAATCATGAAGAAAAGAGACACATAAGCTAATATTAAACAATGTATTTCATTTGAATTAACAGAAGTAGTAACAAAGTAAACATAAAACACAGTGGAGAGAGGGTGTCAGAAACAGTTTCACAGAAAAGTTGATGTCTCATCAGAATTTGAGGATGAATGAGAGTTTACCACGTAAATTTAAGGATGAAAAAAATTAGTAGTCTAAAGATTTCAGGAAAGTAAATCTAGAAATTAATAGTTTTCAAAAAATAATACTTTTTTTTTTTTTTGAGACAGAGTCTCGCTCTGTCACCAGGCTGTAGTGCAATGGCACGATCTCGGCTCACTGCAACCTCCGCTGCTGGGTTAGAGCGATTCTCCTGCCTCAGCCTCCCCAGTATCTGGGACTATAGGCACGCACCACCACGCCCAGCTAATTTTTGTATTTTTAGTAGAGATGGGGTTTCACCATATTGGCCAGGATGGTCTCAATCTCTTGACTTCGTGTTCCACCCCCTCCTCAGCCTCTCAAAGTGCTGGGATTACAGGTGTGAGCCACTGCTCCCAGCCAGGAATACATTTTTAAATGTGTTAAAGTTTTAGTTTAAATGTATTAAATTTTTAGTTTCATAAAAAAATTGAAGTTCTCTGTGGAATATTGTATCCTAGAATCAATCATTGTTCTTTATTTTTAAAGCATAGTTTTTAAATTTAAACTAAGACTCTGGTTTCCTTATTACATATCAAAACATAATGAATACTGTCACTGACTTTTTAAAAAAATGTAGCAGAACAAATGGGGGTATTTTGTATTTGCAATCTGCAGGAAAAAGAAATTTGTTTTTTGGACTAAATGATGGAGATGAGAATTGAGGGGATATAATAAACTAAAACTTACTTTGTTTACAATATGTCAGTCAGTTAAACACTGAGTGTGGATTAAATAAATACTAGATGTGAAAAAATGTTTTTCCTAATTGGGAATTGCATAGATGCTATATCTGCAAAAGCATCAAATAGTTTTCTTAGGGGGTCCAAGTGCTTAGTCTTGAACTCTGGAACAAGGTCTTTAAAAGATATAATGATATGATTTGTCAGAGAAGCGAAATAAGAACTATACCTGTCTATTTTAAAAGCAAAAAGTCAAACTTTAGTATTTAATGCTTTATCAGACAATCAATTCTCCAGAACATCTCAACAATATTGTGGAGCCATCAGAAATCCAATAATATAGATGCATTTGAATGGATCATAAAACCCATGAAACTACTATGTCATATAACTTTATTTTGAGAACTCAAGCATGTAACCTATATTTGACACCACAACTTTCTAAATATATGAAAATATATGAAGGCTTTGAAATAAAACATCTTCAGAAGTTTATTTTCAATAATCTATTTCTTTTCAGCCCGTGTATTTCTGTATCTCAACAATTAATATTTTCTAATTTTTTTCCTCTTATTTTAGAAAACTGAGGGTATAGTTGATATTTCAGTTACTACCAATGGATTTCAAGTCACAGCAGGGGATGCTTTTAGTTACAATTGTTTACAGACGCCAATTATAACTGATTTTAGTCCAAAAGTACGAACAATACTAGGTAAGAAATTCTTCAATAAGATCAGTCATATCTTATTGTCATATGGATAAAAATGTGTGTGCACGTATGTATGTATACGTATTGTCATATATATGCATGTATGTATGTATACGTATTGTCATATGTATAAAAAACATTTCTAGAAAGGCTTTTGAAGCATAGTTTCTTCTGCAGTTTTGCTTCTTAAATTGAAACCAGTTATAGTTTTATGTGTGTGTATGTTTTACCATAGATTAATCTATTTATTATTTTATATTGAACATATGCAATAAGGAGAAAAATGGTAATATTTGTTAAAAAAGGACTTTGTCATCTTTTTTCTTTTTGAGCAATTGAATGTACATTTCATCCCTTTGTGGCTGCTACCAACTCTTTCGTTGTTTTTCCTTTTGCCTCTCTAAGTGCTAGGATTTCCTAAATCCAATGAAAGATGAGAGATGAATTGATTTATTTAATATGCAAATTTCACACTGGATAGCAAGTTGAACTTTTTGCATTATTTTTAAAATTTTAAAATACTAGGAGAAGTTAATTTAACAATTAAGGGCTATAATTTTGGAAATGAACTCACACAAAACATGGCGGTGTATGTTGGAGGAAAAACCTGCCAGATTCTTCACTGGAACTTCACAGATATTAGATGCCTTTTGCCCAAGTTGTCTCCTGGAAAACAAGATATCCACGTAGAAGTCAGAAACTGGGGTTTTGCATCAATAAGGTATGATAATGAACACAAACTTGATGGAGTTGTGGAACACATGGGGCTAGTGGAACTGGGATAGGAAAAGAAGTAGGCGTTAACCTTTAGGGGTTGCTCTCTTTACCTTTCTACATCTTCTTTTGCAAAATATGCTGAGAATATCTCATAGAACTGTAATATGACACCTAGTTTTGAGACCAATACCATTCAGATCAGGTTGTAAAATTCTCTGTACAACTAGCCTTATGTATATGTCACATGACTTTGATTCATTCAGGAAATGCGTATCAAGTAGCTTCTAGGGGCTCAGTGCTGCTGGCTGGATTTACACTGGATTAGAGGGGCATCTCCCCTGCATTAATGGTGCTCACAATTTTCTTGGAGAGAGAGATTTCAAACAGAGGATTACACCAAGAGTTTAATTGTAAATGTGAAAAATACTATGCATTAGAGGTACTAGGTGCAGTAAGAGTCTATAATAGAGAGAGCTGACTTACCCTGAGCATCAGGGAAAGGTTCTCTGAAAAGGTGACAATTAAACCAAGAAATGGGTAGGTGGTGGCCATTTGAAGGAGAGGATGCAGAGAGTCTTTCTCCAACTCGATTTTCTGTAAGGACTTAGTATTTCTTTTTCCCTGAGACTATTTGTTAACTGATAAAATTTAGTTCTAGTGTGAGGAAGTCATTGGTTTAGAATACTTAGAAAAGGAAGATACTGAAATTTTATGGATACAAAAAGGCCAATAAAGCTAATGTCAGAGTAGAAGGAGATGACTGCAGCAAAATCTTGCAAGAAGTAAATGAAAATGAGCAACATTAAACATAAACCTCAGCACTACATCCATCTCCTCTTGGTTTCACAGGGCAGAGCTTACATGGGTTCTGTATTGGCTTGTGCTTTAGCTTGACGATATAATGGGTGAAATTGACACCACACAAAATTGTGTATTCAGATTCAAGAAATACCACAGTTATGCTATGGAAGTTAAAAGTTGACACAGTGACTCACGTGAATTTTTCTGCCTCTCTTAAGTTACAAGGGAAGTTTGAATGTGGAAGTCAAGTATGTCATATCAGAAAAGCATTTACATTTTGAAGGCCTCCTAGCAGACGCATTGTCTGTAACCAAGCAAAATAAATTAAAAACTCTCTCCCTGAAGTAGTGGAAGGGAGACCCTGACAAGTTTTCAACAAACATGGAATAACTTCAAATTAATTTTACAAAACTTTGATTACTCAAATGTGTGAGATTTAATTACTATTTTTAAAGCAGAGCTACCTTTTTGTTTTACTCTAATGAAATATAAAATATTTTTAAAAATCTAATGTATTTCTTGTGACCTCAGTTCTCATAAGCATATTTTTCCATAATATTGTAGGATCTTCCATCTCAAATTCTTCTGCCATTAGAATGTTCAGAAATTTAATTTTTATAGTTAGGGGAAAATACTGAATATACTATCCAACCAAATCAAGATTATGATAATTCCCAGATTGTCTATCTTGAAAAACTAATGTATAATTAAATATCCAACTATTTCCTCTTTCTAAAGAAATCATATCCTAGCAAGGGTTTAGCGAGATAAACCAGAAGAAAGCTCATTGAAAAATGTATCCATTTTTTTTTTTCTCAGAGACAAATTAAATTCTTCAATACAGTATGTTTTGGAAGTGACCAGCATGTTTCCACAAAGAGGCTCCTTGTTTGGTGGAACTGAAATCACCATAAGGGGTTTTGGATTCAGCACAATACCAGCTGACAATACCGTGCTGTTAGGTAAGAGCTTCTTTCATAGGAAGGTGATTAACATTTTTCTCAGCTTAAAGGATATACTATAGGTGCTGAGTTATTATATGAAGATTCTAAATCGCAGTTTTATTTTTCTAGTAGTATAAAAAAGGTTAAGTGTATTTGGTTAAAGTGATAGAGAGAAACTGAATAACTACTTTTGATTTCAATAAATAATTACTGTGTATTTAATGTGTATGCAACATATAGAGTGGAGGAGTTGTTCTGCAGATAATGAGTACTCATACATGATTACTATGAGAAAAGAAGTACCGAAGATCCTACTATATAAGGCAGAGTTTTTTTTAGGGTCTTGGCTGTCGATGAATTATACTTCATCTCTGTAATTCACAAAAAAATTTGACAAAATGTTTGCTTTTTAAAAATATCCAGTATTTATTCTTTCTAGGGTCCATCCCTTGCAATGTTACATCATCATCAGAAAATGTCATAAAATGTATTCTTCATTCAACTGGGAATATATTCAGGATTACTAACAATGGGAAAGATTCAGGTATCAGCCATTTATATACTGTGAAAAAATGGAAGCACTTAAACCTGAAATTAATTTGATTTTTATTTATTTTGTATTTCAAATTATTGAGAGACTGAGTACTCTTATTTCTTTTATAATTTGTCAGCAGTAACTGCTTGACATAGAGGGTCATATATAGAGTGAATTAACGGTAGATTGAGTCTAGAAGGCCGTACTTTACAGTTTCCAACTTCAGGAATTGCCATTTGGTTTTGCTGCAGTACAGAAACTCCCAAATTGTAGTTTATTATCCGTCATGGATTTCCAAATGAACATTCCAAATAAAACTGATCATAGCTTTAAAAATATTCTCTGTAAGCTTTCTAAGCAAATTATTTATTGACTTCTAATTTTTTTTTTTCAAATTGTCTTGATCATCACTTTTGGAGTTTTGTGACTTAATTTTTCCTTATCTTCTTTTTACCTTGCTTTCCAGTATTTCTATTTGTTTTTGTTTAGTGCTTAAATTATGTAAGTAATTAAGTTTTAGTGTTGATTAAAATGTTTTTACTACTGACTGTACATAAATTGCAATGTTGTCAAAGATAATTATTAAGAAATTCTCTTTTTCTTTTAAAATATCACTCAATTCTTGTTCCCAGTACATGGATTAGGTTATGCCTGGTCACCATCAGTCCTAAATGTGTCTGTAGGGGACACAGTGGCATGGCATTGGCAAACACATCCATTTCTTAGAGGGATAGGATATAGGGTTTTTTCTGTCTCCAGTCCTGAAAGTGTAATTTATGATGGCAAAGGATTCACAAATGGAAGACAAAAATCTACATCAGGTATGTTTCTGCTTATTGGGTTTCACATCATGCCACTTTTTCCTAGATCTAATAAAATGACATTTTTTGGTAGATTTAATACAGTATTTTTACATAAGTAATATACACAAATGCATAATGTAAATTAGTTGACATTTTATTGCTGTAGTAAAAATGTTAGCAATAAGTGTAAGCAAGTTATTTTATACATACTCAAGTGAGTTCTGATATTAGAAATATTTCATATTGATTCTGTGATAATCAATCAATTGAAAAACATATTGTGAAAGCAAAATGCAATAAAATAGGAATATATGTTTAAATCAAACCAATCTGGTAGCAAGTGATGAACTTTGACTGACTGAAATCAATTGAAAATCAGTGTTTCTTATAGGACAGCTCAGAGTAAAATGTGCCTTTTAGATTGCCTGTTTTGTTTTGTACATGTAAGATTTTGAACTTTTAACTCATGAAAAAAAATTCTTTCATTTCATGTTGAATTTTTCTTTAAATTTTGGTATGTTATGCTCGACTTGCCATGGTTTTCTAGAAAATCAATGCTGGATCTTGTTTGGAATGTAATTTCATTACACAAGATAGCTTTTAATAGTCAGCGAGTTTTCTTACTACATTCTGTTGACATTTCATACACTTGAAAAATAAGAAACTGTCATCTGCATGTGCATTTAAATGATCATTTCAAGTCGTTTTCAGTCTCTTTTCAAAGATGCATTAATTGCTTATATTTATTATGTACAATCTCATTTTATGGCAGGTTCATTTTCTTACCAATTTACTTCACCTGGAATCCATTATTATAGCAGCGGGTACGTTGATGAGGCTCACTCCATTTTTCTCCAAGGAGTCATTAATGTTTTACCAGCTGAAACCAGGCACATTCCCCTGCACCTGTTTGTGGGTAGCTCTGAAGCCACATATGCTCATGGTAAGATGGTTAAAGATGGAAACTCTGTTACACAGGTGACCCAGGGTGTGTGTGATATTTCCGGAGCAGGTAGCAGATGACTGAGTCTCACTGTGCTTCTCTCTTACTAGCCACGTGACCTTGAATGGGTTTGGGCTTCTCTGAGGCTGGAATTTATCCTCTGAAATAAGGATTATGTTAATGTCTTCCCACCAGTCTCTCCCTCAGAATCGTTGTGTGCCTCAAGTGAGATGTAATGTAAAAATGTTCTGACACTATGTATGTGCCTGGACATATATTAAAATGTAAGATGATGTTATTATTTTCCCCATGGGGTCTGGCCTTGGACAAACTGAAAAATAAATCAATTTTATATTCAGTTTTCTCTCTTTACTGTGACATCTTTGATAAGGTCTTTAATACTTTTGTACTGCCTAAGACCCATTTGTCATTTTGTTTTTCAAAAAAGATTTACCAGAATTTAAACCATCATCATCAAAATAAAAAGTAACACAGTTCAAAAACAGTTATCGTTCTAGAATGTTATTCATGACTTACAGGCAGTTCTTTTGTCTAAAGGAGGACCTGAGAACTGGCACTTGGGAAGCTCTGTGGCAGGCTGCTTAGCAACAGAACCCCTGTGCGGCCTGGACAATACCAGGGTTAAAAATTCAAAAAGATTGCTATTTGAGGTTTCAAGTTGTTTTTCACCATCTATAAGCAACATTACACCATCCACTGGAACAGTAAATGAACTAATAACAATTATTGGACATGGCTTTAGTAATCTCACATGTGCTAATAAGGTAAGAATATAAATACCTCCTTTGTACTTCTATTACATGTTCTCAATGAAAGTATTTTGACGATAACCTTGTTATTTAATTTTTACGAGCTTTATTGAGATTTATCACATACCATACAATTCACCCATTTAAAGTGTATAATTCATAAACTTTTAGCATAAGCACAGAATTGGCATTCGTCACACAATCAATTTTAGAACATTTTCATTACCAAAACAAAGAAACAAACAAACAAACAAACCCTAAATCCCTTAGATATCACACATAACCCCTCCATCGATCCCAGCCCAGGGCAATCTCTAATCTACTTTCTGTCTTTATAGATTTGGCTGTTCTGGGCATTTCTTGTAAATAGAATCATACAATATGTGGTTCATTGTGACCAAGTTTATTTATTTTTCACTCAGCATAATGTTTTCAAGATTCACCAAAGTTGTACCATGCATCAGTACTTCATTCTTTTTTTGACCTAGTAATATTCTATTGTATGTTAAACAACCTTTTATTTATCCATTCATCAGTTGATGGGCATTTGGGTTGTTTTCACCTTTTGATTATTATGAATAATGTAGCAATGCACATTTATGTACAAATCACAATTTAATCCAAGAGATGCCTTAATCAGCCCCTCCCCAATTAAATTTATGAATAAAAGATATTTATTTGCACATGATTAGCTTTTTAAATTTATAGTTGTTGCTAATACAACGTTTGTTTATACTGGAGATATGTATTGACTTGTTTTATTTTGCATTCATTTCACTTACAGGTTACAATTGGTAGCTACCCCTGTGTCGTAGAAGAAAGTAGTGAGGATTCAATTACATGTCATATTGACCCTCAAAACTCAATGGATGTTGGTATCAGGGAAATTGTCACTTTGACTGTCTACAACTTGGGCACTGCTATCAATACATTGTCCAATGAATTTGATAGGCGATTTGTGCTTTTGCCAAACATTGACCTGGTGTTGCCAAATGCAGGATCAACTACAGGAATGACAAGAGTGACCATAAAAGGCTCTGGATTTGCAGTTTCTTCTGCAGGTGTAAAAGTCCTTATGGGTCATTTCCCATGTAAAGTTCTATCAGTGGATTATACATCCATTGAATGTGAAACATCCCCTGCTGCCCAACAGCTTGTGGATGTAGATCTTCTAATACATGGAGTGCCTGCCCAGTGCCAGGGAAACTGCACCTTTTCATATTTAGAAAGCATCACTCCTTATATAACAGGAGTCTTCCCAAACTCTGTCATAGGGTCTGTAAAAGTTCTTATTGAAGGAGAAGGTTTGGGGACTGTTTTGGAGGACATTGCTGTTTTCATTGGAAATCAACAGTTCAGAGCAATAGAGGTTAATGAAAACAACATCACTGCTCTTGTGACTCCTCTCCCAGTTGGACATCATTCTCTTAGTGTTGTGGTGGGAAGCAAAGGCTTGGCTCTGGGAAACCTGACTGTCAGCAGCCCCCCAGTAGCATCTCTATCACCAACTTCTGGAAGCATTGGTGGTGGAACTACATTGGTGATCACAGGAAATGGCTTCTATCCAGGCAACACTACAGTCACTATTGGGGATGACCCTTGTCAAATTATTTCCATCAACCCCAATGAAGTCAACTGCCGCACTCCCGCTGGGACCACTGGAATGGTCGGTGTTAAAATCTTTGTTAATACAATTGCTTATCCACCTTTGCTTTTTACATATGCCCTGGAGGATACTCCATTTCTCAGAGGAATTATCCCAAGCAGAGGTACTCTAATATCTGCCTTATTATCTTGATATTATTGTATCGATAATATTTATTAGTATAGAATTTGAATGATATTTGTAAATAACTATTAAGGTGTGTTTATAAATGATCCCAATTACACCTAATACATGAGATTCAAGTTCTGTGTAGTCTGTATTGTATGATTATTTTTCACACGTTTATGGGATAACAATTTTAGACAAATTTCAACTTCTATTGAGGAACAAAATTCCGGTTAACTTGACCTAAAAATAAGTGAAGATAGACCAAAACTGCTAATTCATTTATGTTATTGATGTTGATTTGAACTAGAAACTCCAGTTAAAATTCAAAAGTTGCAATCTTACTTACATTGAGAGTGTTTCAGAGTACCTTATTTCCATGAAACTACAAATGAGTATTAACTTATTAGCACACCAGAATTCTTTTTAAGGAGATAATTGGCACATTCAGTGGAGAAAATGTTATAAAATAAGATTTTCTTAATTACTTAGCATGACTCATTTTTCTAATTTAACAATAGGTTGATATATCATCTTGGTCCTTTGTCATTATGCTATGCTGTTTCTGATCATCTTCGAGCTATTAGAATGCTTATTATATGTGCACTGAATTCTGGAGAGGAAGCTGTAGTGTAATAGTTGAGAGCTTGCCTCTCAAATGGCTCAAATTTTGGTTCCTTTAGTTTCCAGCGATGAAATTTTGGACAAGTTTTTTTAAACATCAATTTCTTTATTTATGCAGGTACATACATTATAAAGTTAAAGAAGTTTATTCATATAATATAACTTAGAATAGTACATTTAATGAAGAACTCATTAAATGTTAGCCTTTTAGAAAAGTCTTTTTTAGGTTACATCACAAGAGAAATGTATCAGGTTTGTGTAAGTAGTATTTTCTGCCTTCAAAGAGTTTGCTGTCGAAATCTTCTTTAATATGTCAAATTTGCTCATTTTGAAAGATGTGAACAATAGCAATGGCATATTTCTTTCCCATGTGGTTGTAATCATTGCAAATAATGGCATATGTTTCTTATTTCCATGGACTGTGTCTCTTCCTATCTCTGTCTTTGAATGATTTTTTTTTTTTAAAAACAATGCATTCAAAGGTATAGGAGACTTGAAGACGTGTGAAAACTGAACTGTTTTTATTTGCTGAAGAGACAGGTGACACTGAGAACAACACTGTTGCATTTGAAAGGCAAAATGTCAAGCAGAATTAAATGTTAAGACCCATACAACTTTCTTTAGATTGTATCTTAAAACTATTTCAGCCAGGCACGGTGGCTCATGCCTGTAAGCACTTTGGGAGGCTGAGGTGGGTGGATTGCCTGAGCTCAGGAGTTCGAGATCAGCCTGGGCAACATGGTGAAACCTCGTCTCTACTAAAATACAAAAAACTAGCCGCGCGTGGCGGCATGTGCCTGGAGTCCCAGCTACTCTGGAGGCTGAGGCAGGAGAATCGCTTGAATCCGGGAGGCAGAAGTTGCAATGAGCTGAGATTGCACCACTGCGCTCTAGCCTGGGCGACAGAGCGAGATTCCATCTCCAAAACAAACAAAGAAACAAACAAACAAAATTATTCCTAACATGCAATATCTCTTTAGTATCTGTCATGTTTAAAATAAAATAATTATTTATATTTAAGCAATCCTCACTATGGTCAATTATATGGTAATTCTTTATTATTATCACTCGAATTAAAATCAAACTACTACTTGAGGGCACTGTGTTTGTAAAAAGTTACGTTGACTAATTTTCATTTAAAATTTAGGTATGCGAATATTCATTTGAACAGCCTATGAAAAATTCCATATGTTTAATGCCCTTGATGTACATTTGTCAAAAGAGGGAAGCAAGAGAACAGCCAGAATCTAATTATTTGTTCTATGTGCACTCATTCAAGGCATGAACATCAACATTCACCTACAAATCTTTAAATTAATTCCTTTTTTCTGTATTTACTATCTTACACCCATTTACATATCGTAATTTGTTTACCAAGTCATAACCATCAAAAACGTTTGAATTAAGAAAAATGTAGTCTCTCCTCAAAAGAGTTGCTAATGTCAGGAAGGAAGGTACCAAAAATAAAGATAGTAAGCCTTATCCTTAAAATATGCTCTAACCCACGCTGCTCAGACATTCATACTTCCTAACTCTAGACCTGCTCTTCTCTCCTCCTCTCTTCTCTATTAGTGTGAATTAGTAACTTACAACTCAATAGAATGGACAGAAAGGCTGGAAAAATAATAAACATTAAGATAAATCACTTATAATTAATATACAGTAGAATGTAGTATATATTGTAGTCAAAATGTATTGTATGACACAGCATGTATTGTTAATATTTATATTAGTTTTAAAACACTAGGTATTCTTTTATTTATAAAAGTAAAGAGGTATATCTTTAAATGAGTGTGTATTAATAGTTAGATATATTTATATTGTGTGCTTTTTTTTTTTTAGGTCCACCAGGAACTGAAATTGAGATCACTGGATCCAACTTTGGCACTGAGATCTTGGAAATCTTGGTGATGATAAATAACATTCAATGTAACATAACCATGGCCAATGATAGTGTGTTGCAATGCATCGTGGGAGATCATGCTGGGGGCACATTTCCTGTTATGATGCATCATAAGACAAAAGGCTCAGCCGTGTCCACAGTTGTATTTGAGTACCCGCTTAATATTCAAAATATTAATCCAAGCCAAGGTAGTCATAAGTATGCAGGAAACTGCAGATATTTTGTTTCAGAAAACACTTATTTAGAAACCTTATTTAGAAAATAATATGTTCTTCAAACACATAAAATTTCTAGTTTGGTGTGTTCTTTTTTTTTTTTTTTTTTGAGATGGAGTCTCACTCAGTCTCCCAGGTTGGAGTGCAGTGGTGCGATCTTGGCTCACTGCAAGCTCGGCCTCCGGGATTCATGCCATTCTCCTCCCTCAGTCTCCTGAGTAGCTGGGACTGCAGGCAAAACACCACCATGCCCTGCTAATTTTTTTTTTTTTTTTTTGTATTTTTAGTAGAGACGGGGTTTCACCGTGAAAATTTCTAGTTCTTATAGCACAATACAAATATTTTTCTTTATGTTGCAAATAAATAAGCATGTTAAGTGTATAATTATTTATTTCAAAATACTAAACTTTAAAATATAATACCTTATATTTCTTAGTGATGTATGATTAATTTATTTAAAACTTAATCTTACTTAAAATGACAGTTATATGTGAAAATGTTTCTTAAATCATGTTTAGACATCACTGGTATGTAATTATTTCTACATAAATTAGTATCTTTTTTATTTAAAAATTTTTTTTGGTTAAAAACCTTAAGAAAGTATAAATAAACCAACCTACTTATAATTAAAATTGTAATTGCATAGTCTATGTTTTGCCTACTCTGAAATCCTTTGTGACATCTCTTTTAAGTAAAATTTTAGTTCCTAGAAATAGTTCAAATAAATTACCAGATATGACATTTACTCAGTGAGGATTTTAAAACACTACAATCAAAAGAGATTCAGTTGCATTCATAGAATAATGTACTATAATTTCAGTTCCTAGAAAATCTTCATTTAATGTAACTTACTTTTAACATTTAAAATAAAGGTAAAAAATATGTACACAGAAGAGGTTTTATTTTAATTAGCTTTGTTTTTCCTTTTTATTTGTCTTCACTAGGGAGCTTTGGTGGGGGTCAAACCATGACTGTGACAGGCACCGGATTTAATCCACAAAATTCAATTATATTAGTTTGTGGCTCAGAATGTGCAATTGACAGGCTTAGATCTGATTACACAACATTATTATGTGAAATTCCATCTAATAATGGTAAGTTGTCAGAAAAAATAATGGAAGTCTTTGAGAACTAGTTAATTTTATAAAGATCAGTTAATTTCTTTTTTCAAGTTACTGGCTGCCTTGGAGTAATTAAATCACTTTATTACTGTCCTGATTCTAAGCAATTTCTCCAGGACATTTTCTAGATTCACATGTCTTTTGAGATTCATAAATTGCAGATGGAATTGTTTATAATAAATTGCAGTTTTCCAGTTTATGGTGTAAACTGATGGTTCTTAGTCTATTGAGCATAACAAATGGAGAACACATTTTTAGTTCCCATTAGAATATTAGGCTTCCATTAAAGATAGGAGTTCCATTAATGGCTATGAGTGTCAATGCCGGTGGTGCATTGCTAAACTCAAACCCTACTTGTGTCATTGAATAAGTTATTTAACCTCTCTATGCTTCAGTTTTTCCAACTATAAAGTGAGATGAATCACAGTAGTCTACTGGATTTTTGTCAGGTTTAATAAGTTAATGTACATAAAGTGGATGGAATGATGTCTAGAACCATATGTAATTCGCTATTATTCTCATGCTTACTTATTCATTTTTAGTTAATGAGCCTGGTCTCTGAGGAGTCCCTGTATCTCAGTTTTGTTACTTACTGTGTAACCCTAACTAAGTAACTTAACTTCTCTCTGCTTCAGTTTCTCCACGTATGAAATGGAGATATTATTAACTCTAATTCAATGGATTGTTGTGAAGATTAAATATTTGGTAGTTTAGACAACAAATCTTAGTTATTACTTCACAAAATTTAAGAAGATATTTAAACAATGTGAATATTCTAGAAGAATAAAGGATATATTTTATGTGAACACATTTTTTAAAACATTAACAAAATTTTTGAAGCTTTTCTAAATATTATTGCTTCTTTCTCTGACTTCCTTAACAAAGAATATTGAAAAATGCAATATTTTTATGACTGAGCTTATTTATCATTTTGACACCAGAGTTTGAATCCTGATTAAAAATATATATATACGTAGCAATACTTCGAGACTTGTCAAGGTTTTAGGTTGTTTGTCTTAACACTGGCTCTGCATCTTCTCGTTATGTTTTTGCATCAGGTTTCTGTAGTCCTTGTTTCTGACCTTGCCTTCAGCTGTCACTGCTTGCTGTTATCAGTGTGTGTGTCTTTAAGCAGTTCTTCCCTCCTTCCTGTTCTCATTTACAAAGTTAGATTCTCTAGAATTGGAAAACTAAGCAGGCAGGTTTGTAGAATGTTCTACGCAAGAGTCTCCCTGGGAGGATCCAAGGGCTTTTTCTTCTGTTGATAGTGAGCATGAACTTTGTAATGTTTTTGGCTATTGCTAGAGGCCACTATTATTCATATGCAGCCCATGTATATTGGAAAAGGAAGATGATTGTGTGAAAAGGAAGATGTTATTGAAAATGTTTGGAGGTTTTGGAAATGAATCAGGGTCTGATGGCAGAACTGCATTCACTCTGATCCTCCTCTCATAGGCACGGGAGCTGAGCAAGCCTGTGAAGTGAGTGTGGTTAATGGGAAAGATTTGTCACAGTCAATGACTCCGTTTACATACGCAGTGTCACTGACTCCACTCATCACTGTAGTGTCTCCCAGGAGAGGCAGTACAGCAGGTGGCGCCAGACTGACAGTCATGGGATCAGGATTCAGGTACTGTCTCCACACACACATGCATCGTTGTGCATTTCCAGACTTGAGCCATTACACCTGCTTTCTCCTATGCCTGGACAGTGTGGAAATACAGTCATGTAATGTGTACCTATATGCTCGTAACTTATGCTTAAGGCAAAAATAGTACTAATTGCTAACATTTACTGAGTATTTATTTTGTGGCAACCACTTGCCTACCCACAGAGACATCCTGCCTTACTTCCTGAGATGTTTTTATCTCATTTTATGGTTAGAAAACAGATTAAACAGGTTAGACAACTTGCCCCCAATCCTAGTATGTAGCATCACAAATATAAATCCCCTTCTTGATATGCTTTCCCCACCATCTTATCTCCAGCCATGATCTGCTTCATTGGGTCAAAGAAACACCTTTCCATACAGCAAGTCTATTCCACTGTAATTGGTCAAGTTTCTTTTTCTTAAACATACTCATCATTTGGCTCAAGTTTGTGCACTGCGTTGCCATCATTATTCAGATGGGGAAGGCTGAAGTCAAAACACCAGATCACATACACCACAGAAGCTCACTGTAACTCTTCAAGCAGTTGTGATTACCTTTGACTTGCATTTTTACCTGGAGGTTAAGTTCTAAAGTCCACAAACATGATAAAAATGTCACATGGACAAGTGATCCTTGAAAATCTCTTTTAAAAGTACCTGTTGGGAGATCAACATAGAACCACTGAACAACAACAAAAATCACTGCTTTATTTTCCCCAACACTGGAACACTGGCTATTTACAGTCCTATTTTCTGGACTCTTAACCTCTTTGTTTACTTTTTTTTTCAATAAATATTTTGAAATCTTAGTATCGAAAAAAAGCATCAATCTGCACTTTGGTGGCTGATAGAATCAGGCTTCTTTATTTATTTATTTATTTATTTTTTGCAATAATATGTAGGAATAAAAGAGTTTGACAGCATGATCTAGAAGTTTGAGAAAAACATACATGTTATGTGTTCCCTCTTTTTTTACAGTGAAAATGTAGAGGATGTTCATATCACTATAGCTGAAGCCAAATGTGATGTTGAGTATTCCAACAAGACACACATCATCTGCGTGACAGATGCCCATACTCCCTCAGGGTGGGCTCCAGTTCATGTCCACATCAGAGGTGTCGGCATGGCCAAACTGGTAATAGTGCTGTTGGGTATAGTAATCACAGCAACAGAAAACTAGCATTATGGGAGGTGGGCTAATTGGTAATGGTTGTTTTACTTTAATATCTCCAAAAAAATAACTGAGCTGTGACTGTAATAAATTTAAAGTAGCTTATGTTTTTTGTTGCTTTTCCTAAAATTTTTATTATTTTAGATTTTTTATTTTTCTGAGTTGTGGGGTAATTGGTAATAGACTTTTTAAACTTGATCATTATTGTGAAATAAACCAAGAGGCAATTATAACACATTTTAAGTAGGTTAGATTTTATTAATAAAATGCTTATTGTTTGTATATATTACATATATTTACTATGCAATATAAATATATTTATATTGTAATAAAAAGCTTTTTGAAAAATCGAATGAAAAACTCTGGTAAAATCCCTAAATTTTAAGGTCTCCTATGTTCTATTACAGGATAATGCTGACTTTCTTTATATTGATGCTTGGTCCTCCAATTTCTCATGGGGGGGACAATCTCCCCCAGAAGAAGGGTCTCTTGTTGTTATTACAAAAGGACAGACCATTCTGCTGGATCAAAGCACCCCTATTTTGAAAATGTTGCTTATTCAGGGTAAATTTCTGAATATCTGTTCATTAGACTCTGTCTGAGAAATATTTCTGTGAAACTGATTTAATCAAAGTCCACAATTAAGAACATCCATAGTTGCATCATATTTTTAGTACACAGTGTAGTCCTGGGCTTTCTAAATTGAGTATTGCAATCCATTTGTGGTTATGATATTATTTAATGTGTTGCAGCCAGCATTTTAAAAATTAAATAGGATAGAAAGCATCAGAATGGATTGCATGCATATGAGTAAGTACCTTTTAAAAGTAACTGTTGTTTTATGAAACTTTTGGTTCAATAACAAAGTGGGGAGGTGTGAGCATGCCCGCCCACTTTCACTAGATCACAACAAAAAAGGCATTTTCAACTTTGAAAAACACTGATGTAGTGGGTCCCAAGAGTTAAAAAGTCATAGAGATTTGTCCTAAATGATCCCCTTGACTCCCTTTGGAAGATAGGTTGTGATTTTCACCTTTCCCTATGAACCTGTTTCTGTTGTTGCCTGAGGTTGTCTCTGCTGCTGTATTTTGTTTTTTACTGTAGAAAACTAAATAACCATGACTGTGATAATTGCATGTAAAAGAATCATTAATTGGTAAGAGTAGACTGCTTGAGGATTTAGTGTAGAAACTTTGCCATAACAGCTGAGCCATCGGAAGACTCCTGCATTGTTATTGTACTATTTTTAACTTCGGGGAAAATAGAAAAGTTTCAGGTTTTTGAAGTTATTAAATATTGGACCTTTGGACAAATAAAATTTTACTACTTACAAATTTACACTAGTCTCATAAAAATGTATCTTGGTATGATCTTTAATAATGCTAATCAGGCTATAGCTGTTGACAGTGCAAATTAATGGGTAAAAGTTCAGAGCTAATGTTGACATTATAACCGTTTTTATAAACATGCTTTTCTTTAAATGCTTTCATTATTAATTTATATTTTGAGGTGCTGTCTTTGTAGAACGAATTTGCATAGCTGAGCTATTTAGTAGCATCTAAAATAAGCTACTTTCCCAATGTTCGAGGGAAAGTAATCTTCCCTGGAATTTGATTTTCTGTAAACTCCCACTGTCTTGTCTGGAGTTTTTATGTTTTTATGTTGCCAAAGAACTGAAGTGAAGTTACATGCATAACAATAGCAGAACTTGAATGAGGAATTAAAGTTTAATTTACTGTATAATTTAATAATTATTATGTTAAATTGTAATGAGTAATTTAATAGGTAACTTTTAACAAGACTTTTCCTTGTGATGTATTTTAAAATTCTATGATTCATAGGTGGAACTCTAATATTTGATGAAGCTGACATTGAACTCCAGGCAGAAAATATTCTAATTACAGATGGAGGCATTCTTCAGGTATTCAAAAGAACATAATACATGTTCATTTTTAACCTTTCTCCATTTCTTTTTTTAAATACTATGTGTAAAATGGATAGTTAATTATACCAACCTCTCCTACGTTTATCTTTGTTTAGGTCTCTGTTTTTGGTATAAAATCCTTCATGTAGGGATAAAAGTTTCCCAGAATATTGTGTTTTTAATGGGAAGATAGTAGTATATTCCCATAGAGCAGAATTTAAAATAGAACAGGAAAGAATTAACTCTTAGATGTGGCTAAAGTCAATCAGTATACCTTTCAAAGGTCTGGCATAGTGTATTTGGCTCACTAGAAAATTAAAGTTTTATCTTTCCAAAGAAAGATATGAACAACTGAGCAATTAATTCTCAAAAGAGAAGAGAAGATAGAAAAGAACAACTTTTGTGTAATTAGAATTGTGGATTTGGGGTTTTAATTTTCTGAATAGCATTTGTGACATCTTTTGCAGATTGGGACAGAGACATCCCCATTCCTACACAAGGCTGTCATTACTTTGCATGGGCACCTGCGATCTCCTGAGCTTCCTGTCTATGGTGCCAAAACATTGGCTGTGCGGGAGGGAATCCTGGATCTGCACGGTACTGTGGCCAAGTGGCTAAGGGAGTTGGTAGAGAAAGACTCACCAGGACACCAGGGATAATTATCCTGTGATAATTATAATTTATCCTGTGGCAAAGTAAAAGTGTGTTAGGCTTCTCATGTCTTTAGATATCCCCTATTTACCCCTTCCTTCTTTCCCACATCCAAGCAAGGCTGGCCCAGACATCAAGACTCAGAACCAGGCCAAGCGTGGTGGCTCATAACTGTAATCCCAGCACTTGGGGAGGCCAAAGCAGGTGGATCACCTAAGACCAGGAGTTCCATACCAGCCTGGCCAACATGGCAAAACCCTGTCTCTACTAAAAATACAAAATTTAACCAGGCATGGTGGTGCATACCTGTAAGTCCAGCTACTTAGGAGGCTGAAGCAGGAGAATCACTTGAACCCAGGAGGCGGTGGCTGCAGTGAGCCAAGATCGCACCACTGCACTCCAGGCTGGGTGACAGAGTGAGACTCTGTCTCTGTCTCAACCAAGGTCACACTTGGGAAAGTCTTTCTGGGCCTTTTCTACATTCCTCCTCTTCCCCCTTTCTATAGGCCTCCAGGCTCTTCTCATTTCATTTTACAGTAACTGTAGTACCTGTCTGTGATTGCCTGTTTACTTTATTTATTTATCTATATAAAAAGACTAAGTCTAGAAGCAGAAGAATGTAATTTCTTATATTTGTATCTGAAAATGGGGTCTCTCTGAAATATAACAAGAAATTTATAGTTGTAGATTTCTATAACTATATCCTAGAACACTGTCAGCAACCAAAAATGATTTTGATCATGTTTGAGGTACCAGGGCAACATACTATTTAAAGAAAGCATGGTGTGAATCTTTTTTATATTGAAGTCTTCTACATTGCAATAATCTATCCCTTTTATGAATTTAGAATACCAGAAACATGATACCTCATTATCATAAAAGTCCTACATGGGGCTCACTATGTATACTACGTAATTTCTTAGAAAAGTCTACATTTGACTCTAGATTATTAGTTTAACAAATTCCTATCAATAATGACAAAGACAATAGAATTCTGCTTTTTGTCAATATTATCACACCCATTTACATTGTGTCCCTGTAAAAAAAAAAAAGATGGTTATAAATAGGGTATATCATTGCAGAAGAATATTTTTGAAAAGTTTTATAGTATGCATGTTATTTATGCATATTTATATGCATGTTATTACAAACACAATTGTTACTTTTATAAAGCAAGCATTCTACATATTTCTTCTTGAAGAAATGTATGAAATGCTAAGGCAAAATGAACCTTTCCAACACTGATTCAATTTAGGAAAAGATTAAAATGCATAAAGTTCTCAATAACCAGTCAAACACATGTAAAGAAATACTCAGTGTGTACGTTGGTTCTAGGTGTGCCTGTTCCTGTGATCTGGACTCGCTTGGCTCATACTGCAAAGGCAGGGGAAAGAATTTTAATTTTACAAGAAGCAGTAACATGGAAGCCAGGAGATAACATTGTAATTGCAAGCACAGGACACAGGTATGATGTCTTCTGGGCTTAATGATACGTATTTAGAAAAGAAATTTTTACACTGTATAAAGAGGGACAATTCAGATGGTGCATGACTATTTGGTTTAAACTTGAAAACTCTAATAAAGAAACACGAACAGCCAAATACAGATTTGCCAAGTGTTAACATTAGGTTGATCCCATTTGTATTGCATTATAATTGATAGATTTACAATAAGAAAAAATATAAATTTGAACTTATGAAATAATTATGTCCTAGTAAAATGTATGTTTTACATGGTTTGGCTCCCATGTAAGAATCTGTTTGGAAAAAAAGAAGCGTTTGACTACTAAAAGTCATTTGGAAATATCTTAGAGTTTTAAATACATACCTTAATGAATGCAAAAATGTAAATGAGCTTCTTAGTGTGAGTCACTAAAGAACACGTTTGAAAGCAGCCAGTGAACTCTCTTATCTTACAGCCTTAGCAGTGGCTCCCATGGAGCAAAATTGTCAGTAATGACTAAATAAAAGAGAAGAAATCATTATATGACTTTTAGGTGCCTGTTATTTTATTTTATTTATTTTATTTATTATTATTTATTTATTTATTATTATTATTATACTTTAAGTTGTAGGGTACATGTGCATAACGTGCAGGTTTGTTACATATGTATACTTGTGCCATGTTGGTGTACTGCACCCATCAACTCGTCATTCACATCAGGTATAACTCCCAATGCAATCCCTCCCCCCTCCCCCCTCCCCATGATAGGCCCTGGTGTGTGATGTTCCCCTTCCCGAGTCCAGGTGATCTCATTGTTCAGTTCCCACCTATGAGTGAGAACATGCGGTGTTTGGTTTTCTGTTCTTGCGATAGTTTGCTAAGAATGATGGTTTCCAGCTGCATCCATGTCCCTACAAAGGACACAAACTCATCCCTTTTTATGGCTGCATAGTATTCCATGGTGTATATGTGCCACATTTTCTTAATCCAGTCTGTCACTGATGGACATTTGGGTTGATTCCAAGTCTTTGCTATTGTGAATAGTGCTGCAATAAACATACGTGTGCATGTGTCTTTATAGCAGCATAATTTATAATCCTTTGGGTATATACCCAGTAATGGGATGGCTGGGTCATATGGTACATCTACTTCTAGATCCTTGAGGAATCGCCATACTGTTTTCCATAATGGTTGAACTAGTTTACAATCCCACCAACAGTGTAAAAGTGTTCCTATTTCTCCACATCCTCTCCAGCACCTGTTGTTTCCTGACTTTTTAATGATCACCATTCTAACTGGTGTGAGATGGTATCTCATTGTGGTTTTGATTTGCATTTCTCTGATGGCCAGTGATGATGAGCATTTTTTCATGTGTCTGTTGGCTGTATGAATGTCTTCTTTTGAGAAATGTCTGTTCATATCCTTTGCCCACTTTTTGATGGGGTTGTTTGTTTTTTTCTTGTAAATTTGTTTGAGTTCTTTGTAGGTTCTGGATATTAGCCCTTTGTCAGATGAGTAGATTGCAAAAATGTTCTCCCGTTCTGTAGGTTGCCTGTTCACTCTGATGGTAGTTTCTTTTGCCTGTTATTTTAAAACTGAAACTATGACCCTTAATTTCTGTTTAATTACATATTTGAGCAAATAAGACATAAAAGAAAGAAATTAACATAATACCACCAAGTATCATGGGGGTAGGGGCAAGAGAAGCATTATTTTTGCTTTATTGTTCAAATTATAGATAATAGTAAAATTGAATATGGTTGTGATTATTAGGAAACAAACAGTGATTTATGATAAGAAACAGCTAAATTTTATTAAGGCCATGATTCAGCTTAAATTTAAAATTCAAAATGGCATTTTGAGTTTGCCATATTCCATATTAAAAATAGACTTGCAGTTATTAGGAAGAGTTAAATATATACTTAGCTTTAGTGCTCATTTTGTTCTGCCCTTGGAAGAAATTTTAATTATATAAAGGCAAAATAAAAAAGCAGGAAAATGACAGGGTTTACTAACAGAATAGAAAATCTTCATTTATGGTTTTTTGTATGAAATGGAAGGGTAGCTTTAGGGTTTAGAATGGGGCTATTTAATTTTCAGAAACAAGAATTAAGGAGTTTCCCACCAAATCTAATTGTTTAATGTGTCCTTGATAAATCCTATTTGATAGTTTGCAAAGACAGTGGTTAAGAAAATGCCCTCAAAAGTCAATGGTTAAGAAAATGCCTTCAAAAGTCAGTTTGTCTGTGTCTAGCTCCCAGCAATACCACTTACTAGTTCTGTAGTTATATTATTTTACCTTTCTGTGCTTCAGTAAAATTGCAATGTTATTAGTAAGGATTACATTAGTTAGTAAGTGTAAAGCAGTAAAAGCAGAACTTGGCTCAAACTAAGTGCTTGTTACACTTAGTGTTGTTATATTACAACAAAGGAAGGAAAGATGTGGTTAGGTACATACAATATATGAAAATGCTTTTCAGAACTTCTTTTCTAAAGAAATCATTGTATCATCCGAATTCAGGAAAATTCAAGAGAGGCTAATCTAAAGCCTTTTTGCATACCACCTGTGAGATCTTGTACCACTGGTTCACCCTTATCTCTAAGCATCCTTAATCTCCACCTCTCCCTGCCCCTCCCCTACAATTCCTTCCCTGCATCTTTTGCAATGATTCTTGTCCCCATCCACCCATTATCTTGATAAACAGCTTTGTTCTCCTGTCTCCTGTAGCATCTTTCTTTTTTTTAATCCTTTATTTTAGAGTTGTAAACTGCTTATATATTATATGCTCATTTCTTCTATTTTATCCTTACTATCCTTTGTTTTCTTTCTTTAAACCCCTGCATTCTAGTTTTCTTCTTCACAAATCTTTTTCAGTGACCTTGTAATTATCATCGTTCATTATTTCCTTTGCATCACCAAGTTCTTTTGGTCTGCCCTTGGCATGTCCCTCATCAGCTTTCTCTGCTCTCAGTTTGATTTAGGTTCTCAGCCTCTCACACCTGGAATATTACATCACCTTCCTATTTGGGCTCCATTTCACTCTGTTACCCCCACGAATTCATTCTGCATTAATTTGTTCAATCAATCAAAACCTGTTATTGAGTTGTGACAGGTGCTGTACTAAGTGCTCAGCATATAAAATGATTTCAATGGGTCTCATTCCTAGAAGAGCAGACAAGTCAGCGGAAGGGACAGAAAGATAGATATCTCATAGGACTGCAGCGTGGTTGCTCTGAGCATTAACAGAGCATTATGCAGAGTGTATTGAGAATGCAGAAGTAGGGTTGGGAAAGTTGAGAGAGCTGCTTTGAATCTATTTCACATATGGCACTGTCATTCGAACTGCCATTTAAAGGAGGGAAAGGATTTGCCAAGGGAGAGAAGGGTCAAAAGAAAATGTTGGGAAAACAAAGAGGTAACTCCCTTAGGCTTACCTTTGTTAACAGCAGCAATCACACTTTAGTAGATACTATATTATACAATCAAGCACTGACACACTTGTCTCCTTAAAATCAGGGAAACTTTCTACTTGGCATCCCCAGTGCTTAGTTCCATGCCTAAAATGCAGGTTAGACCCTCAGTAAATGTTTGTTGGATGACTAAATGCATGAATGTATACATTATAGAATTGGCAAATTCTTTCTGCTGTGACTGGAATTTGGAGTATATTTGGAGGAATGGTAAAAATGAGATCTCCTAAACTTCAACTCAATCATTTCTTTTCCCTGTTCAGGAACCTTCAGTGACTCCCCTTTGTAAAGGTTCTCAACTTGTGCATGACGGACATTTTGGACCAGATCACCTTTGTTATGTTGGGGAAATCCTGTGTATCATGGGATGCTTAGAAACACCCCTGCCTCTACCTACTAGATGCCAGTAGCAGCCCCCAATTGTAATAACCAAAAATGTCTTCAGGCATTGCTAAATGTCCCCTGGGAGGAATAAAATCATCCTCAACTGAGAACCACTGAGTATGATCCTCCACATTGTAAATGAATAGTTTTCCAAATACTTTTAATAAGCTAATCCAGTTCTAGGAATGAATGTAGAACTTGAAAAATATTTAATTGAATTGAAAATATTTGTAAAACTTAGTTAATAAAGCAAGAATAAAATATTTTATTCTAATTTCTGTTCAGAATATTATATGACATAAGAATAGTTTCCTGTTTTTTCAAAGAAGCATTTAAAATGAATAAAGCAAATATACCAAAACAATATGTTATGTCAATTAATATTAATTTTGAACATGTTTCGTTAAAATTTTTACAGACACAGTCAAGGAGAGAATGAAAAAAGGACCATTGCGGCTGTATCTGCTGATGGCATAAACATAACACTAAGTAATCCACTAAATTACACACACTTAGGAATTACGGTCACACTCCCTGATGGAACTCTGTTTGAAGCAAGAGCAGAAGTTGGAATTCTTACAAGAAATATTTTAATAAGAGGATCTGATAATGTTGAGTGGAATAACAAAATTCCAGCATGTCCTGATGGATTTGACACAGGTAATTTTAGCAGCTCTCGTGGTTGGTATAATCATGCCATATAGTTCTAAAATTTAATTGGTATATGTTGAAATACATTATTTCAATGTATTTCATTGTAAATATCATTAAATATAATTTAATGATATTAATCTTATTATAAGATACCTTTAAATATCTTGTAAATATAATTAAATGTGGAAATTTGAAAATGCTGATAGTATTTGTGAGTAACATGAAGATATTTGAATATATTGAAGAAAAGTGGTTAATGCTGACACTATAATGGGAGAAATAAGTGCACTTGGTTTCTGTTGATAAATTCTCTTCCTATACTTATGATTCATTATTATGTTTAGATTAGACCTTGATGATTAGTTTTACATATTGCCAGCAAGAAACTGCATTATTTAGATTTACTCAGAAAATATGGAGAACTATATTTAATAGTGATACAAAGATTCTGTTTAGCAAATCTTTGATTCATCAGGACTTTTTCAATTTTCCAGAATTTGCAGTTTATCAGAACAGTGTGAGAGTAGATTTACTGTAGAAAGATACTTTAATTAATTCCTAGACTGATGATGCATAGACAGACAAATGGATAGATGGAATGATGGGGGGGAAATCTATAGATATATAGATCTGAGCCAGTGGGGGTAGGCTAAGTCAGAGTTTTTCAAAGTCAGCACTGTTGGTACTTTGGCCCAGATAATTCTTTGCTGTGGGGCATCGTCCTGTGCATCACAGAATGTTTAACAGCATACTTGGCATCTGCCAACTAAATTCTAGTAGCCTCCTCCAACAACTGTGACACCCAAAAGCATTTGCAGACTTTGCAAAAATGTTCCCTGGGGGCAAAATTGGCCTCAGTTAAGAACCACTGGACTAGGTTATGCTCTATTTATCAACAAGCCCAAAATGTCAGTGATTTAAAATATAAAAGTCTATTTCTCGGCCGGGCGCGGTGGCTCACGCCTGTAATCCCAGCACTTTGGGAGGCCCAGGAGGGCGGATCACGAGGTCAGGAGATCGTGACCATCCTGGCTAACATGGTGAAACCCCGTCTCTACTAAAAAGTACAAAAAAATTGGCCGGGTGTTGCGGTGGGCCCCTGTAGTCCCAGCTACTCGGGAGGCTGAGGCAGGAGAATGGCGTGAACCCGGGAGGTGGAGCTTGTAGTGAGCCGAGATCGTGCCACTGCCCTCCAGCCTGGGCGACAGAGCGAGACTCCATCTCAAAATAAATAAATAAATAAAAGTCTATTTCTTATTCATACTACATGTGTCCCATATGGGTCAACAGGTGGGCTCTTCTCATTATAATTGCCTTGGGATCCAGGCTTATGAAGCATCTATCTCAGCGTGGGCTTCTGTGATCTCTGAGGCAGGAGACGAGATTGCTGAAGAGTAAAGCACTAGCAACTAATTGCTTTGGTCTCAAAGTGATAGTTGTTTCTTATACTCCAGGGTCATTGGTCAGAACGGATTCCATGGCTATGTCTAACTCAAATTGAAGAGAGTGAGTTAGTGCAAACCCCATATACCCAGAAATAGAAGGGAAATGGATATTGGTAAATTTTAATGATGTTTATCACAGCTCTCATATCTATAGCAGGAAGCATAATGCATCTTACAAGTTCTCTTTTAAATATTTTAAGTAATCATTGATATCATTACAATACTATAAGTAGTTGAATAATAACTGATGCAGCTTAAATAATAGCCTTTTTTTAAAAAAGGAAGTATAAGACAAAGCTCACGGGATTTGATGTCAAGTGAGCCACGTTCTCATTCCAGTTCATCTGCATCAAGTCTCACAATGTACATGAAACCCAGTTTCATCCTGTTTAAATTAAGAACACTTTCTGTTCTATTTACTCTGGTTGTAAAAAGTAAGTGACATAATGCATATTCTCATGTTCTACAAATGTAAAATTGCATTGATTATGTTAATCCTCAAATATTGGGGAAGGCTTCAGAAATAATAAAACTGAATCCCATTATCAATATTCCCTTGATCATTCAAATATTTGTTTAGTATCTTCTCTGAAAAATACGTGTAAGTACTTTAGGGAATACAAAGTTGAACAAGACAAGGTACTTACCTATCTTGCTATCTGAAAGAGGAAATGATGTGAATACAAATAACTATGTTCTAGGATGAGGTTGAGATTATAAGTGAATCAAATGATACAATTACTTATGAGAAATTCAAATTGAGGATTCAAATCCTCAATATAGGAGGATTCTGACATGTTTTTTAATGATGCTTTAAAAACTGTTTTAAAGGAGAATTTGCTACACAGACCTGTCTCCAAGGAAAGTTTGGAGAAGAAATAGGAAGTGACCAATTTGGAGGCTGTATTATGTTTCATGCTCCTGTACCTGGTGCTAACATGGTAACTGGGAGAATAGAATATGTAGAGGTGAGAGGCATTATTACTAAATCACAGTGGTTTTCTCAAGGTTATCCATACAAGAAATATGTATTAAGCTCCTGCTGTTTGTCAATGCTACTTAGAATCTGATAGGGGAGACAGATACATAAGTAAACAATTTTAATATACCCATTTGATCATACCAAAATTTTGTTTCTCAAATTTTCTCACACCCCAAATCAAATTCATCAGCAATTCTATCTTCTCTACCCACAAAATGCTGTATCCAGAATCCAGTCTCTTTCCATACCTCCACCTGACCCTGAGCCTGAGCCACTATCTCCTCCCACCTGGACTGCTGTGATTTTCTCCTACCTGGTCTTCCTGCTCCCACCTTGCTCTAATAGAGTCTCCACACTTCAGTCAAAGTAAAATTTTAAAACCATAAGTCGTATCTTGTTACACCCCTCTTCAAAATCCTTCAGTGGCTTCATAGTATACGTAAAATAACAGGTCTAAGTCCATCCCATAGGAACCATGTGATCTGACCCAGAGATGCCCTCTGATTTATCTTCTACGACCCCATGCCTTGCTTGTGCCATGCTAGTAATAGAGGACCCCTTATGTGATCATGTCAAGCACATTCCTATCTCAGGTCCTTCATAGTTGCTTTTCATTATTTATTTATCTATTTATTTATTTTTGAGATGGAGTCTCACTCTGTTGCCAGGCTGGAGTGCAGTGGCACGATCTCGGCTCACTGCAACCTCCACCTCCCGGGTTCAAGTGATTCTCCTGCCTCAGCCTCCCAAGTAGCTGGGACTACAGGTGTGCACCACCACACCCAGCTAATTTTGTAGTTGTAGTAGAGACAGGGTTTCACCATGTTGGCCAGAATGGTCTCGATCTCCTGACCTTGTGATCTGCCTGTCTCGGCCTCCCAAAGTGCTAGGATTACAGGCGTGAGCCACCATGCCCAGCCTGTACTTGCTTTTCATTCTGCTTGGAATCCTCCTCCACCAAATACTGCATGGCTTATACCCCTATTTCAGTCAGATCTTTTGACGAGTGTAATCACTCCAGAGAGGACTTTCCTCACCACTTTTATTTAAAATTGCCACCCAAACTCCTATTTACTTTATTTATACATAACTCCTAACAGGATATCTATTTTTATTTATTTTCAATCTCTTCCTCTAGAACATAAGCTCTATTATTTTACAGATGTTGTCTTTATGGTTCTCTGCTGATTCCCTGGAACAATGCATGGCATATAGTAGATTCTCAGTTGATTATAAATTAAACAAATACTTAAATATGCATATTATTGCTATGACATTAGAAACTCCCGTGTATCTTATTTATATTCAGGCTGTATAATCAGGGTTTGGCATAGTTTTTATCATGTATTCAGTAGAAGGAAGGAAGGGAGGGAGGAAGGGATAATAAAATCCATAAATCCGTTAAACCGGGCACACTGCGACTGCATTGATGGTGACATAGTCAGCACCTCCATTTTGTAAACTTCCCTCCTCCTGAGATATGTTACATGTGACATCTGAGATATGGACTAAGTGAGATTGCTAGTTTGATCTGAATATCGAATATTAATAATGGTTAATTTTTAGTTTTAGATGGACAACAAAAATAGTGGACCTAATGTTTTATTTCATTACCCCATGAAATTATATGACATACCTGTGCATGCTCACACGCATGCACGCATGCACGTACACACGCACACAGACACACTGGTATCCTCTGTATTAAATTATTAAATCATAGACCATTTGAAAGAATGCACAGCCCCGTGATTAAGAGCACCAGCTCTAGAGTTAGACCAACTTGGGTTTAAATGGAACTTCGTAACCATAAACAAGATACTCAGCCTTTCTAAACTTCCATTTATTAATCTGTAAAATGAAGTCAATGGTAAGTGCCTACTTTAGGGGATTATGGCAAAGACTAGGATCATGCATGCAAAGGAGCACAACATCTGGCACACATAAAACATTCAAGAAATGTTTCTTATTATTACATAAGAAGCAAAGTAAAGTAAAAGAGAAAAAGAAGTCTTTCTAGATGTTTTATTTTCTGAAACACAGACGTTTACTAATATACCAAGGTAAAAAGCAGAAGAGTCAAAGATGGCTTTTTATATTCTTTCATTCATTTTGTACTAAGTGTGGTCTGTTATACATTGTATAAAACATGGTGGGTTGGGGGTTCAATGACATTTTCAAATAATAAACATGAAAACTTTAGAAGAAATAAATGTATTAATAATAACATAAAATTTGAGATTTTTTTGAAACAAGAAAATACGAGCTCAACATCTGAGCTATTACTAAATAACTGTGATTTCTGGGCTTAACAGGTATTCCATGCTGGCCAGGCTTTCCGGTTGGGGCGATATCCAATACATTGGCACCTGCTTGGAGATTTACAGTTTAAATCTTACGTAAGAGGCTGTGCAATTCACCAGGCCTATAACAGAGCTGTTACTATCCATAACACACACCATCTTCTGGTTGAGAGGAATATTATATATGATATTAAGGGAGGAGCATTTTTTATAGAAGACGGTATTGAACATGGCAATATCCTCCAGTATAACTTGGCAGTATTTGTACAGCAAAGTACCAGTCTACTGAATGATGATGTGACCCCGGCTGCGTTTTGGGTCACCAACCCAAACAATACCATACAACACAATGCTGTTGCTGGCGGCACTCACTTTGGCTTTTGGTACCGGATGAACAACCACCCTGATGGGCCATCCTATGACAGAAACATTTGTCAAAAAAGAGTTCCCCTTGGCAAATTTTTTAACAATACCGTCCATTCTCAAGGTTGGTTTGGAATGTGGATCTTTGAGGAATATTTCCCCATGCAAACGGGATCTTGTACGTCTACTGTGCCTGTGCCTGCAATATTTAACTCACTTACTACTTGGAATTGTCAAAAAGGAGCTGAATGGGTCAATGGAGGTGCCCTTCAGTTCCATAACTTTGTGATGGTGAATAACTATGAGGCTGGAATCGAGACTAAGAGGATCCTGGCTCCTTATGTTGGAGGGTGGGGAGAAACCAATGGAGCAGTGATTAAAAATGCCAAAATAGTTGGCCATCTTGATGAACTGGGAATGGGGTCTGCATTTTGCACAACAAAAGGCCTGGTTCTCCCATTTAGTGAAGGCTTGACTGTATCTTCTGTGTACTTTATGAACTTTGACCGTCCCAATTGTGTAGCTTTGGGAGTGACATCCATCTCTGGAGTTTGTAATGACAGATGTGGGGGTTGGAGTGCAAAGTTTGTTGACATCCAGTATTTTCACACACCAAACAAGGCCGGCTTTCGCTGGGAACATGAAATGGTATTGATTGATGTTGATGGCTCACTTACAGGTAATGTTACTTTTTAATTCGTGATAAAAATCCATTGGAAATACGTTAGCACAGAGTTAATTTGTTAAAGCAGACTTAGGTGCATTACAGATCTTACCTAATATCAAACTTTACTAATAATTTAAATGACAGAGGCAAGCACCAGGCACAGATGAGACATTCTTTAATGGAAGAGCCCCGAGCTGTCAGAGGCAGCCTCCAAATATGTCCTTTTTCTCCTGCATTGGCACATTAATTTTAAATTAACAGAAAATTTGGGGCAATATTCATGGAAACATTGTTCACAAAGGGAAACCATTTCACTTTTAGAATGCCTCCATTTTATACTCAGTTAAGTTGCACAGAAAAGAAACTGCTTACATCACTACACTAATTCTCCAGCCAGTCATGCTCCAGAAACATATAAATTGCAGGCTCATTTACAAAAGCAATGTAGATAGACTGGATCTATCCTTGTGAAAATACTTTTAAGAGAAGAAATAAGTCACAAACCTGCTGTGAACCCTTTTCTTCCAATGTAAATCCTAAATTTTTAATTTATTCAAAGAATACCAAAAGAGAACAAAATTCCATATACATTGTAGGTTAATTTTTTTTTTCAGCATTTCAAGTTCTGAGTAGGTCACATTTTTAATATTTTGTAAATATTCATGATTTCTAGAATTTAGCATTTTTACAAATTGTAAATGATAAAAATCTGTCTAAATAAGATAGCAAGGCTATGTGCCTCATACTCTGTGAGTCAATCAACAGGTAAACCTATAGACAGTAATGATTTACTTTTGAAAGACTCTGAAGGATGAAAGAAGATTCATCTCAAAATTCAAATGCAAAACTTAAGTTTTCATCCACAGTCGTTAATTGTGACTTTAAAGAGGGAGAATGTTTGGATGCCTTTGGTATATAAAGCTTTGTGTAATGTTTATTGATTTACTTAATTCAATTTAGGTTTTGAACATTAATTGGTAGTCTACCAGTTTCGAGTAAAGGCTTTATAGTCATAACACCTGGATTTATATCCTCCGTGTCCTTGAATAGGCTACTCATCCCAATTCTCATTTCCAACTTTGACTCTCATGGGTGCTTCACACCCTGTGTTTCAGCTAAATCCACAATAACATTCCTAACCAAAGAGGCACTGCAATGCTTCTATATGAGATCCTCTTGCCCCATGCAAACAAACAAACAAACAAAAAATTACCCAGACCTTTAGATTGTATTAGTGGTACTATGGGTCACAATTCTGTATATTGTAGACCTTTTTTATGTTTCTTAATGTGAAATAAAAAACATTTTGTTTGTTTGTTTCCCAGGGCACAAAGGACATACCGTCATTCCACACAGCTCATTGCTAGACCCTTCTCATTGTACTCAGGAAGCTGAGTGGAGCATTGGGTTCCCTGGATCAGTCTGTGATGCTTCAGTCAGCTTTCACCGTTTAGCGTTCAACCAGCCTTCTCCAGTATCTCTGCTTGAAAAGGATGTGGTTCTTTCAGACTCTTTCGGTAAGTGGAATATATTAGTTTAAACAACTTATTTAAATATATCTTCCTAAACTTTTGTCATCATCTTCTTGCATTGTTACTTGGTTGTTCAAACACTGAAGAAAGTATAATATTTATATTAGAGTCCAAGCAGGAAACAAATAGTACTCTCAAAGTAGGTGTTTGAGAAGCATTTTATAAATGCAGAGGCTAGCACAGTATTCTGCTTATCAAGAAACCTCCAGACAATATTATGATAGAGAGAAAGGAATATTGGCATAGCCCTTGGAGCAAGTAAAAATGTGGCAGTGTTTCTGCCACTCAAGGCAGATGTTTTCGATTGTCCTTGCTGATTGAGATGGGATGGGGGAGCATTTTCTAGGTTAATAGCTGCCTACCAGGTGCCAGGGATTGTGGATTTACTGATTTGTTCCAGTAAAGGTACAATACCTGTAACACCAGATATGCTTGACATCATTACCTGACTATGTTGCATTAATTTACTGTCATTGTTCATAATCCATCTGGCCAAACCAGCCAAACAAGCAAGCTAACTAAATGGGGATGTGGTGAAAATCCTGAATCTCACATTTCTTAATTCTTCAATCATGGCACTAATCTCTGCATTTCCCCACTACCCCCACCCCACCAGCAACTCGAGGATTTAAACTTGCTTTTATTTAATTAAGGGGGTGGCAAACATGGTTCCTAGAGTATAGGGTATCCACATAGTTCCTACTACTATATTTGACCCTGCTCCATTAGTTGGGGAACCAGTTTGGGAATTCTTCCAGTTACTAACTGTGTCTAGTGTCACTCTACCTGACCTAACCCACCCTGACTGGCTCAGATCTATATCTCTATCTCTTTATCATTCCATCCATCATCTCTCTAGAAATTATTAGTTAAAATATCTATTTATAATGAATCCACTCTCACAATATACACTGTTCTGAGGGACTGTAGATTCTGAAAAATGGAAAAAGCATTGATGAATCAAAGATTTGCTAAACAAAATCTTAATACCATTGTCAAATATG